GTACTAGTTATGTCAATTACAATAAGCTAAAATCATATGTTGGTGTCATGAGCACTTTAAGAAATATATATAGCAAGGACAACTTGCTATATGCCTCTTATTTTTTTGTAACTTCTCTTTTCTCCAAAGCATTAGATAAAGGGCTTAAGACAGGAATCGTTTAAACGATCGACTAGTTTTTGACGGTGATAAAGAATTATTCCATGCAGTTCGCTGTTGGACTGCATGTAAGAATAAGAAGACAGAAGTCATTTTTAGTACTCACCTGTCTGTCACAAGAACCCTCAAAATATTTGCCAGCAATGATGTCTGGAAAGGTTTCCGTCAATCCTTGATTTTTCCTTATACCCCGTCACTACAGATGTCTTTGGGCGCAAGTCTATTACTATTCGGTCCACCACAGTAAAGCGTCAAATGGTTCTAGCTGCAGCTGTTTGATCTGAAATGGTCTTCTGGTTTCTGACGCTTGGGGAACAGAGTGATTGCGTACGTACACCAGAAGAACTGGTTTTTAATGCAAATTAGTTAATCTGCTGGAATGTTATAATGTCCTTGGTAGGACGGAGGAATATTACATTTATTACTCCGTGAAGGAGGTCAGGACCTCCGGACGGAGTGTTGTGATCGGCTGATTTTTCATGTTCGCAGTCAAAACACTGGGTTCTCTTTGTGTAATCGGCACGCAATTTTATACGCCGTCTGCGGGCATGGCCGTGTTGATGCACGAATGTGTATTTTTGCCGTTGCTGCTTTCGCGGTCAATGTAATATCGCAGACGCACTCCTACAATTACGAGGCGAATTGGAATGGTCCAGAAAAACGCGTTGTTTGGAATAGCAGTGGGGGAGGGTAGGGTTACAGTTCGATGCAGATACGGGGTGGTTTTGATAAGTGGTTCCAGATGTTTTTGCCCATGGTTAAGAGATGCCAAGTTTTTTGGAAGATGTTCGCAGCCAAAACGCATTCTTCCGTACGTCGCATTTCTGTGTAATTTCGCATGTGGTGTTGCATTATGTCCGGGATGATGCACGTCTTTTTATTTTTACCGTAGCTGTTTTGATATTGGAGTAAATGGTTATTTTCGAAACATCCCCATGCCGTTGAAATGTTGTCGTCCGTTTATGTCACCGGTAGTAAGTCGCGGCGGGGCTGATGGTCAACATTAGGAAATGTTAATACCGATAACGTAATCCTATCGATTTCAAACTGGTCGGGTGTGGCGACCTAGTGGCGGCGTGTATTTAGTCACGTAGCAACTGGCCGGTCGTCCTAGCAACGATACATGGCCAATATTTTGGGTTGGGCCGCTCCATAGTGTTAGTGGAGCAGCTCTTTGTAAACATGGACAATATTTTTGAGCAACCCATCAATGTGTTCTGCCTCGTGGTCAGATGTGGTCTGGGGCTGGTAAACCGCACATACAGTACTAGTAGATCGGGTAATTTTATGATTTGCTAGTTGTAAAGGCGTCGTGTAGTATGAGCCGGTATATGAAGAAGTAGCCTGTGTTACACAATCATGCTTTCGGCCGGATTGATGTGCAACTGTTACTAATTGCAGGGACTGCGCTAACGCCGACCAGTCGCGCTGTCCTGATACACCGCGAATGTGCGAGTGTTCCCTGTAGACAGTCCCGGGAGTCATTTTTTTCGCACATTCCAGGAGCCAAACCAAAATACGTTCATGAACCGAGTCCAAAAAACCGAAACGTGAAAATCGGATGATCGGACCTGATGTACATTTCTCTTTCTGTAGATTGTACACACAATACACACATCTTTAGATAATCTGGCCATGGCAGGTAAAAAAAAGTAACCCTGAATCATACTAGATTAGCGTAAATGCATGTTTATGCGTTCAAAACAAGAAAAGAATTTGTTTCTCGGTATTAATCTCTTGAAACACGGCGCTGAATATTGACGCAAAAATATTTCGGGCATCGCGCGCCCTTCCCCAAATCCCGCGTCACGTGTCGGCATTTCGCATCTCTGATTGGTTGTTGCGACTTAAGATGACTGAGCCGACGCGCGTTTAAACAATTTTTCTTTGTTCGATTTATTTTCTTCACAGAGAATTGTCGCCAATGGCTACTTCTTTTTGTTGCAATATATAATACTTCACGGAGAATTGTCACCTATGGCTTCTTGTTTATTGTTTATTTTCAGGCTCAATGGTCCATAGCACAGACACACGACATTACACAAACACATCTGACACATCTATGACTATACATTTATGTATAATCATAGAACTTGTAGGATGGAAAGAAAACAAAACATAACGCTAGCTTCTGTTGCTAGTACCCAAAAGTTTTATTGCAAATTCATGTGCAAGGATACCGACAAAGGTTGCTAAGCGATTAGTGACTAAAACCAAGGAGCTCCTTTATGCTAAAACAAAATGCAATATCAATAGATATCGGTAGTTTTCACTACAGGAATGATCTCAGCGTGGTCTCAGTGACTAGCCGCGGAAGCCGTATCCTCTTCCGAGCCGGTAGCCGCCATACCCCCGGCGGGCATTTCCTCCGTTGCCTCGGGCAGAGCGCTGGTCAGGGCGCCTGGAGATCTCGTTACCTCTCTGGTGGTGCTTGAGCTTTTGCTGGTACTTTTTCACTGTAGGGAAAGAGAATTGTGAGGTTTTAGTTATGAGTCTAGAGTGGTCCTGTCAGTTATGTCATCAAATAACTTTCCAACTAGTCTGGATGCCAGACTATGCCAGCCCCATAGCACAGTCAGACCATAGAGTAGTCAGTGTGTTTCCTTCCATGTTGGAAGGAGCCGTCTTTGTAGCCCTCAGAGAGGCCTTTAACAGTATGACATCCAGACTACCCTCGAACAGAAACACAAAACAAAACAAAACAAGACTATCGTTGTAGAAACTCAAGGTAGACGACATAACGAATACTCACTGCGAGAATGTTCTTTTTTCATGAACTTCTTTGCCCGCTTCTTCAGTCCGGTAGCGACCATCCTGGCGTGGATCTCCTGTATTGCGTTTGCTTCTGGAATTATAAAAAGAAAAAGAATAATGTCATACAACATTGACAACATTGATATTAGCCCTAAAGATCTTAGAAACAAGCGCAAATAATTTATAAAATAACTTTCTGGCACTTTTGACTTACCATTGAAAGCAGACAATGGTTGGGTGCAGTGCCCAATGATTGTCTTTTCTTTCTTGTGTTGGAATTCAAATATTTAGAAACGACGAATAGTCGATGCCATGGCAAATCTCTTTTCTTTCAAAAATTCAATACAAAGAAAAGCTGTGAAATGATAACAGTGAATTAACATTAAACAAAAAGAAAACAACGACACAGAGTACTACATTGAGTTAAACCATGGAGGTCTCTTTTTACCTCCATGGTTAAACCTATTAAAGTATGTTGTATTTAACATCTGTGAATTGGGGGTAGTTAGCGCTATTCAGTACATGTACATGTATCATCTTCTACGTGATAATTCCCGCGAAGGTGTCAATGTAAGTATCTCTCCGTGGGTTTTGTGTGGTGTGAATTACCCCCCTTTTTTCTTATTGAAATGCCTCAATCAATCAATTGTTGTCGCATAAATGCAAAGTAATTTACATGCGCCTGAGACAGTCAAACAACTTTAAACAGCTGTCTGACATATAGGTGTGTATTCTGTGTTGAAAGTTTTTTTCTGTGTTGAAACTTCTTCTTTCTTTGCTGGTGTCAAGGAACGTAACTCGCTTGCATGTGCATCCGACTGCAACTTCGGCAAAACCATATTCTTATAATTTATAAAACACGTTAGAAAATAATTTACTCACTGTTGTCCGCCCTCTTGATGTAGCCCCTGATGGCTTTCTTGTCCATGAGGAAGTCGGGACTGTCAAACTCTGAAAATGTGGGGAGTAGCGTCATTTACGGCGACAGCTTGCAAATACAAGGGAACCAACAAATTATAAAAGTCGTTTACTTTACCTACAGGCGTACATATTTGTAGGAAATGAACTTCCAAGCAATCTGTTACCATGGAGGCTTGATTTTAACTCCTTGGTTTAACACGTTGAATTCCTTTTATACGTTCATGCTTAACTCATATACTATATGGTTTTTGTCTTATCAGGGAACGTTCCACGTCCCTAAAACGTGGTGTGGCCTAAGTTGATGGTGTCGGTTACTTTGTTTATGAGTTAGGCCATGTTGATTTGATTATATGGATGACATCCGCGCGCGCATGAATTTTCGGCCGTTTCCAAAAAAAAAAAAAGTTTTCAACCATACTGTAAATCGTGCAAAACAGTTGACAGTTGCTAAATGAGCAAAAATATACCATAAGTTGCAAGGAAAACATGTAGAAACGATACCAATGTCGTAGAATGCCGAAATCAAAGGAAAAATGACAAAAATGTAAAGAAATGAATTCGAAGAGTAGATTATTCGCCATAACATATTCTGTGCCATTTGTTCCACCTTCTTGACCACGTAGATTTCATAGTGAAAGCAACTTTTTTCAAAACTTTTAAAGCAACTTTTTTCAAAACTTTTTTTTTATTCGCACGCTCCCATCAGTTTTGGGGTTCCCAGAGGATGTCATCCATATAATCAAATCAACATGGCCTGAGTCATCATTCTTGTTGACGCTAAAACAGATTCTTTTAGATTACGGCGAATTTGTTATCATATATAACTTACCAGCTGCAGCACTGTTGTCCTCGCCAACGGCAACTTCGACCAGAATGAAACAGCAGACAGTAACCAGTAGTAGGGCGGACAGAGTAGTAGGATTCATTTTTTTCTTGCCGGAGGAAGACACAAATTCTGTCTGGGGCCACCAAGGAAGTTACTTGCAATTGAAATGACGGGAGACGCCGATCACCTTGTCATTTAATGAGCAGCTAATTAAAATTCATGACTACAATTTACGGTGTTCTCATTGGCGGAGATCGGTCACATGATATATCTGGGCTCGGCCGTTGATTGGACTAAATCGAGACAAAAGTTGGCCAATGACATCGTCGACAATGACGACTAGTATTCAATCTTTTTAATGGCTGTAAGATAGTGTTATAAACATACAAAACAGTGCCTGGCTAAGATATGGCATAGTACAATAGCTACATATGGCAAATTATAGACTGGTTTTGATATATACAAACATTATACATGCCATGCATGTATTAAAGTAAACCAAAACACTGTACTTCTAGTAAATACCGGTAAAATCATTAATAACTACAAATGAAAAAAAGGACATACTATGGACAATCTTAGATTTAAAAAAATGCTTCAAGCATATTGTGGTTACAACTTTACGATTATCAATAGTAGAAACAAGCTTTTAAAAAAATCACAAAGACTCTCCACTAAAAATCTGTTTCACAGTTCAGAACTTGACCAACTCTAAGCTAATATTTGCACGACAAATACATTGTCACTCTATTGTTTATCTTTCTGCTTCCTTGATAACATAATACAACCATAATCTTAAACATCTGTTTTCTTTTTAATTAAACAAAGCCATGAGAAGTTGTTGATACAGCATTTACAAATTCGGATAAGCAAGATGTGAGCATACAGATTCACACTTGGAGGCCTTAAAAACACTTACTTTCAAGCATAAATATGTATGATTGAGTAGTTAGGTGTAACCTGCTTTTCAATATCTATGGATTAACTCATCAGTTTTCCTCAGAACCGTTTTGGCCGAAACTTTATCACAGGTTTTTCCTTCCATCAAAACTGTTTTCCAAGTATTTATCTTCAATAATCAGATAAAAAATATGGAAAATATTCCAAGGCCCAAAGGTGATAAAAAAATAAAATTGATTATTCCCAGCAGCCTCATCTCCAAGCTGAAGCTGACTTCTTGTCTCCTTTATGTCCGGCTGCTACCTTCCTCTCCGGCTTCTTTGTCTGTGTGGGTTTGACTACCTGAGTCTTCCCAGTCCTGGTGGTTCTGGGAGGGACTTTGCTGGTAGACTGTGCTCTGCCGTCTTTGTTCTCTACATCAAGTTGACTGGGTTCCTGTTGGAGATAGGAAGATACATGTGTTACATATTACTGTAAACTGACTTATATACTAGTATGTACTTTTGCTGTGCTTATTTTTCCTGGTAAGAGAGAAAAGGTGCTTTTTTGGGGCGTTTTAAGTTCGCGGAAAAACAATTCTTTAGTACAAAAGTCATACATTTGCAGTGTAATGACTTTGTGGTGGCAAAGTCACTGCAAAAACTAAACTACCGCAAAAGTTTTCAGGATATAATGTATGATTATAGGACACAAGAAGATTGTGTTCTGAGACAAGAAGCAATTACATAGCAGCATTTAGTTACCAGTATTTATCACTATTGCTATGAAAGACATACAGCCATAAGTTTAAAGATCCTACACTCAGATGTATAGTTTCTTCAAGGCCTATTTCTAGTCCTCTCACACTGCTCCTAATCCTATTATATACCTAGTATACCTTGACTTACCCCTTGAGAAAAACTGGCACTCAAACTGCGCTTCACCCTGGCAGGACCTCTTGATGAGGATAGATCAGAGGTTTGTGACGGAGCAGCAAAACTGCAAGGGAAGATATGCAACAATTGTGTTCTAAACAATCATCAAGTGTTATAGTGTTATACATAATGTGTGATATTATCTCCCTATGGATTTAAAATACAGTAAGGCCTGTAGACATACAGAACATTTTGCTGTATCTAATTTGGTACCTTCACTTTAAAACTGGTAACTCTGCTTTAGCACTAGGGTACAGTAGTTAAACACATACCACTACCAGTGTACTAGCCCCCAGCTGTAATGATTGAACAACTCAGGCTATTGAACCAGAGATGGGCACCTCCCTATTCACAAGACTTTTTTGAAAACATGATGTACCTACCTGACATGATGTCCACTTGTGTTAGCGGTCAGATATCCCTGACCAGTCCTGTTGGCGTACATGTTCAGCAGCTCCTGTACTACGGCAGGGTCAGTGGGCCAAGCCGGCTGTTGGAGGGGTACAGTTTCTGCAGGGAACCAAATTTGTACAATCATACATCATGATTCATACAAAATGTCATCATGCAAACAAAAACATTTTTACACACAATCAGTAATTGAAAACTAAGCAAAGGTAAGACTACTGACAGAACAGAGGAACTTACTACACATCCTTGTTTTAAACTATGTAATACTTTGAATAAACAATAGCTCAGACAAACAAACAAACAAACAATAATTTTACCTGATGGTCCAAGTGGGTTCTTTCCCCCTGCCTGCTGTGTCATGCCTGCAGGAACCTTTGTTCTCTGAATGACAGGTGCCTGGTGCCCCTCCACTCTCTCTGTAGGCAGGACCCTGGTCACCGCACTCAGTCCTACATGTCTATCCTTACTGGGCGTTCCTCTACGGCTGTTGGACACTGGCACAGACACTTTGGGACTACTGGCCATCATTGGAGGGTAGCTGTGAGAGACTCTAGGGCCAATCTGTGTCGATGGGAGCCTGCTTTTTATAGCAGGGACAGGGACGTTTCTAGAAATAAAATTTTGACTGCCGGTACTCGAGTGTGTGTCGGTTTCTGCATGTGTATCTCTCTGTATAGGACGGTTGTTAGGCTGGGAGCTTGGCTGTTGTGTCCGGAGTTCTGCCAGCCATTCGGCACTGAGGGGTGGACGGGTGTTGAGGGTAGGAGCCTGCTGTGGTGGCTGGGGATCTAGGCTGTCTTTGTCTGGTACGCTGTGAACAAGGCTGTCTGCAGGGCCTGGTACAGGCTGCTGGGGAATGTACCGGTTGGTGAACTGGAGGGAACTTGGAACAACTGCCTGGACATCAACCTGAAAAGCAAATTCAAAATTGTGGTGCATTCTATCATTTCAGATTATGGATTTCACCATACCGGGGTAAAACTATAAAATAGATGATAGGAGCAAGTAGAAAACAAAGTCCATGTGTAGAATAAATGTCTTCTCTCTCTCTCTCTCTCTTTATCCGATTTAATGTCTAATTCTTCATTAGGTAAAAACGGCTGTAGCAAGGTTCTCTTCAGCACCTTCTATCATTGGGTGGAATTTTATGGCTTGGGTCATACACAAAACGTTCAACGGACAAAATCAAAACTTCATAACAAGTTTATTGGGTCATCAACAGTTCCACAGAACTTTTGTAAAATCAAGATGAAGACATCTCAAACTCGAGCCCTTTATTGAATGAAAAATAGTGTTTTGGAGAGTAAAACTTCCAACATTGTTGAGTCACCTGTTGAGTCCTGGCAGATGTGGGAGGGGAGTCTACAGTCTCTGGTGGGAGGAAGGCCAAACTGGACGGTCCTGTCTGCATATCTGTATGGACAAATACGAACATTCAGCACAGAAATATGAAAACATTAAGAAGAATAAATAATTCTCTAATTTCTGAGATGCTATTTCCTCAACAAGATATGCAAACCTTGTAGAATTAAAAGGCTTTTCCAAGTTTGAAAAACATTCAATTACTTAGTAATGAAAGACTATTATCAGAACTGTCCTGATCTGACCTGTTGGATGTCCATGTTCCTGTACGGGCCTTTCCTGACTGGGAAACATGTCGACATATCCTCCTGGTGACTGCTGTAACAGCTGGATAGAGGGACACAAATGCAGACATTATTTCCAACACAAAGGTAAATGTTCTCACCTAGAGCTTTTGACCAGTCACTCTGGTATTTCTCAGCAGACTGACCCAGTGAGACTTATTGTAATGTGGCTTCTCTGAAGTGTGACGTCAACACATGAAAAGTCTCACTGGGTCAGTCTACTAAGGAAGACCAGAGAGACTGGTCAAAAGCTCTGGGTGAGAACAGTGTATATGTACACGTTAGCTAGATGGCTTGATAAGTATGAATATCATAAGTCAAAGCAGTATGTAACTGACCAGTTCCACGTAGTGTTGCAGTTCAGACTGTTTGGTCTCGTGGTGGTTGAACTTTTCCAGCAGTGGTTCATACTGACTCTCCACCATTCGTCTGGAACATAGGGAAACAGTAGCATTAAAAACATGCATTTGTTAGCATGAAATGATGAATGAAGACCGTATAGAACAGAACCACTTGTGGTCTTTTTTCTTGATCAAGTTGAGTACTATCTGCACAGCTAACCTTGTAGGTTCAGTTGACAAGATGCTGGCCCCGTCATCAATGTCCTGCTCAGTGTAGCCGACAGTCTCAGCACCAGTGGCTGACTCTGGGCTCCAGGTGACATGTGTGTCAGGTCCTGTCTCCACCTGGGTGTGGTAGAAATCCTTTTTTTTTCAGTGTTCTACAATATTGCAGACTGAATATCAAAATTTTGTTCTGCAATGCAGAAATACTTTCTGCACATACACACATAAAAGTATGAATCTAAACAAAAAAAATTGGCATATACAAAATTGCATGTTGCAAACATTTTACAGGTAATTTGAAAAACACATGCAAAATTTAGCCTCCATAGCAGGCTTATAGAACTGGGGGTTTTGTGGTCTTCGGCTGTTTTCTGATAAATGGAAGTAATTCAACCAGGCTGGCTATGTTGTCTATATGCAATCAGAAAATAGCACATAAAAGCTCCCAAAGACCATGAAGACCCCCAAAACCCCCATTTTTTGTCATGCTATGGAGGTTATGCAAAATTACTTGTACATCGTACATTATAGAGTCAGTAGTTAACACAAAAGCTTCATTGAACCCCTAGCCTGATTTTTTTTAGTCTGCAAAATTGCAGGTTGCTTACTTTTATTCAGCAAAATTGAAAATGTCTCTGCAAATGCAGACTGCAGACAGGTATTTCTTACACTAACCTGGGTGTACAGAGCTGTATCATTGGCCTGCCCCTCCCCTGGTGCAGTGGTGTGTCTCTCCCCTGGTGCAGTGGTGTGTCTGTGCACCTCTGCCGTGGTCTGTCTCTCCCCCTGTTTAATGATATCCCCGTGCGCCTTTGTTGTGGCCTGTCTGTCCTCTTGTGTTATACTGTCCATAGTCTGTGCAGCAAACGGTTCAGGTTTTTCCTGATCTTGAACAGCTAATCTTTCAGCACCTGAAAGAAAACAAAAAATGTTGTTGAAGATTAGACGTCCAGGTAATAAGATTATACCAACTTGAAAGTAGTAGGTACTCAAGCAAATTTCAAAAACTATCTAGACGCTTGAGTAACTATTGCTTTGGTAAAATACTGTTACATGTACTTTGGTAAAAACAAAAACAAACTTTTAAGACAAATGTGTAACCCACTGTGTTTAGGGTTAATACTTGTTAGAATATATTCCAGAAATGAAATACCTACCAACAGATTTTAGGAGGGTTGAAAAGCTGAGCTTCTGATTGTCATCATGTTTTTTAAAGTTCCCAGGAGCCTCCATGCCATCTCTTCTCCCTGCCAGTGTTTCTGAATAATTCTACATGAAAAAATATAAAAGTTCATAATAATAACTTGCAACCTGGACAAAAAACTCTTATAGTGCTTATCATATGACATCAATGACTTAAAATTTCCTGATTCTATTCAACAGTTACCCGATATAGTATTATAATTTATATGGTTAACATGTATATTTGTGCTCGATATAAACACTTAGTTATTGAACAACACACATGCAACAAAAATCATTCTTCCAGCACACAATTTTGCAGTGCCCTGAGTTTAGAAACACGGACCATTAATTTCCAGCAAAAATTCAAGAAATAAAACTGGTTTGGCCATACGTTGTTTTGTTTCATTAAAACAGATTATCAGAACTTTATTGCAAATCCATGCCCGAAGGCTAATTGCAAGTTACAGACATAAAAGAACTTGGAAACAGAGTATAAAATAGCTTTAAAATGTACATAATGAAATCTAATTGTCTAAAACTATTGGTATGTCTAAAACTATGTCTGAAGGGTTTGACTTCCCACTTTTTCTAAAATTTGTGGGTTTTGGGAAGTTAAAAGAATAGTTTTTTGCTTGTCTGTAAGTTTTGTCTATTATCTATCTGAAGGAGCTGTGTCTATACCTGTGTACTCCATGGAGCACTGTTTGCTGTGGTGTCCGGTAAGTTGTGAGGTCCACTGACAGAGAACATGGAAGGTCCCAGGCTGAGACCTAGTGCTGATCTTGTTGTTGCTGTTGTATTATTCCCACTCTGTGCACCAAGTCGAAATGTACTGCTGACTGGAGGCTGCAACAACACAGAGCAAGAACTAACTTCTCACCCTCTGACACATCAATTGTATTTCATCTTACACCAATAATAGTTACATCAGGCCAGACCAATTTAATTTGTTCGTTCTCGGATTTTTTCAGAAAAAAATGAAGTGACAGGGCGAAAAAAAACCCAACTAGAAACAGGTCTAGGCATCCTATTATAGCCCCAAATGCTACGATAGGAGCTATGGAGTTAACACAAAAGGCTGGGTTAATATTTACACAATGAATTTTGAACTTTAATCAAACCACTGCATTGATAGATGGAAAAACTGTAACGACTAGGAAGAAAATGACTTTCCTCAACTGTTGAGGGCATTTTTGAGTTGATTCATATTTTTAATGAAGAGGCGAATCCAAGAATCAACAAATTAAATTGGTGTGGTCACTGTGGCCTTAAACCAGTAAAAAGGTTGGGTGTGACTGGTCGTTAACTTAACTGTAATATAACCAGTTACTGTTGCACTGCATGCCTGCAAAGTTGTTGCATTATGTTGAGGGATGGTTAAACCAGCTATGCAGAATACAGACCTCAGCAGAGGTGGCCAGCACATCTGACGTGACATCAGACAGCAGTAGCATGGCCTCCTTCACGTGGGACTGGATCAGAGCCTGGAGTCTGGTCTTCATGGCGTTTCTCTGGCTCTCCAGTTTCTCATTCTCACGGCTCAGGGTAGACATCTTCTCTCTGAACTCTGAGATCCTGGTAAAACACAGGCCCGACATAACAGTTACTAATAGTCACACAAAAAGTATTATTATGTTTACCTTTGCACAAGGAAAACATATTGTTTTTGCTCTGTTTCTTCTTCCTCTTCTTCTCCAAACAAATAAGGTCAATGACCTGAACCAGACATCTGTCACCATGGAAACTAGTGTTGGGTTACATTGTGTTGCAATTCATTTTGGGAAGCATGCATTTTGGGTAGCATGCATTTTGGGTGGCATGCATTTTGGGTAGCATGCATTTTGGGTGAATAGACAAGCAGGATTAAAACTCCCAATTTGTAGAGTGAGGAAAGTTGTGTCAAGTATCATGTGACAAGGTCACTAACCACTGGACTACACACACTACGCATACAAAGTCATTGTCTGACTCTGTGAATGTGACTCATTACAAATTAAAATTTAAATCAATGAACCACACAAAACAAAAAATATCTATTCCACATCTTTATGAGTTGGAAGAATTACAGTTTAGAGTTGTGTTCCTTACAAAGTTTCACATAGATGAACTTTCTTTCTACCTGTCGTCGTAGTCCTGACATGTCTCCCTGAGTTTGTTGTCCTTCTGTTCCAGCTCCTGGTGAAACTGTCTCATGTGTTTGTCCAGGTCCTGCCTGTGTCTGTCTGCCACCTCCTGGATCTGTCGTCTGTGCTGCTCTCTCAGCTTCTCCTCCGTCTGTGTCAGCTGATCATGGGCCTCCGCTAGCTGCTGGCTCATCTGGAATAACATTTTAGATTTATTGCCTTTGTCAGAAGGGTATGTGTTCAGTTTTGCTTGGTGGAGAAGCTGTGGTGAGGGTCTGTACTTTTCTAATCTCCAAGTAACCTCCAAGCAGATTCCTTTGGGTGCAAGGCGCGATCAAATGGGACCAGTTACCATTAGCCTCCGTGGCAACTGGGTATCAATTTGATCATGCCTTGCCCCCAAAGGAATCTGCTTGGAGGTTAATACTTTGTATTGGTAGCAAAGCTGGTTTCCATTTCTGTGGGGACACATAGTAAAGGAATAAAAATTATCAACAGTTGTATCTTTTCAATATTTTCCTGAGGGATCATGCCCCCAGACCTCCCCTAGGATTGCAGCACCTCTGGTGTGATGCCTTGTGCATTTGGTGCTTAACATGATGTTACGTGAAACAAAATTGACAAATCCTCCCAGACCCTTTGTCAGTAAATAGTTGCACAGGTTTTCAGTATCCAGTGTTACCTTCCTCTCCTGTTCAGCCTGGTACTCTGACTCCAGTTTACTCTGACTGGCTTCAAACCTTGCCTCCTGGAGACTCAACTCCATCTTCAGATTCTCCTGATGGAACAAACCAGATCAGAAACAGTAATTACACAGGGATGCAGGTACCCTTACGAAAACATCAGATGTGAAATTTCACTGGTTGTTGAATAAAGAACCTACTTATAGTTATAGTCGGTCAAACTGATGAAATTATTCACAGAAGTACAAGCACAGTTTGACACCAAAAACACATTGTGTGTACTATATTCCACAGCCTTTGAAGAACTTATCTGTGTATACTAGTAGTACCTTGTCTCTGTCAGCTGCGTTCAGTTCCATTTTCAGCTGGCTGATTTCGTTGTGTGCTGAGGACAGAGCCTTCTGGTGTTCCTGGGCCTTCTGAGACTCAGCATGGACAGCAGCCTGGGGAACAGTAGGGATCCTTGAGGTACACAACTCTGAACAGTGGTGTATCTGTCACTGTTAATATCTATATCTATGTTTTAAAATGTCTGCATTATAGTTACACATTTATAGTACAATGTGTCTATTGAATTTCAGCTTTCTTTTTCGGTCTTTACCTTTTCTTGATCTTGATGTTTTTCTGTCAGCACATCCAGTTGTTTCTGCAGTTCTTCCTCTTTAATGCTAAAGGCATTTCTTTCCTGGAGAAAGAAAAATACAACTACATTCAAATGATGTTTTGGAAGTTTCTGACTTGCAAGTTTTTACTGTCTTGTGATTTTGTTGATTTTGCCTGTATGTCTTTTGTTATTATGTCTCATACATTTTTTTTGAGAAAATCAACAAGAAACATGAGCAAATCTTCAACAAACAAAAATTAATGATACATGCATATGTTGTTTAGTTTTTATAAACTATGGCAGCACCAGGCTCTTAGCCAAGGTTGTTCGCTAGCAACTGTGGGAGAAAACGAAACTAAGCAGGATGGTACCTAGGCTACCAGGCTAACTAATTTATAATGATTGACTCCATACCATTTCCAGCATGTGTTTAAAGTTGTCCACTTCCCTCTGTAGTTCCTCCCTGTGCTGGAGTAGCTGGTCCCTCTCAGACTCCACCCTTATGGCTTTCTCCCTCTCTCCCTGCAGAAGGTCCAGGGTCTTGGCTTTCTCCTCCTGCTGCTTTTGAAACTGATAATGAAAGGGACTAAGTTAGATGACTGAAAGTAGGGTCTGACTTTTCTACCACTAACAAGTTTAGATTTTAATACATTTGCTTCTCGTACTGCAAAATGTGGCATTCATAACACTGACATCGCAGTATTGTGACTACTGTCAATGTGAATTTGTTCAAGCAACTTCTTTAAGACGGCCACCTGGCTCAATCTAACAACCACCCTTTTCTGGGCTCGAAATGTGTTTTTCTCCATAGCTGCAATCATGACCTGCCCAAGAAGGCCACCTGTTCAAGAAGACCACTTAACTTTGCCCCGTCCCCAGACAGGTTCAATTGTAGTTCAAAATTTAACAGCAACATTTAATCTGTGTCTTTTTCCTACATTCTAAAGTATAATTCTCCACCCATTGCTTAAGTCTGTACCTGAGCAACTTTCTCCTGTTCAGCCATGCTGGCCCTCTGCTGCTCTATGGCCAGCTGTTCCACGGCTTGAGCAAGATCCTTCTCAAAGTTCATCAACACCTACATGGAAAAGACAGGAGTTGGACAACCAATACTTGAACTAGCAAGGACAATCTGTAACTTTGTGCTACAGGAAACTGGTTACTTGCTATTTGGCGTGTATCTAAAAAAGAACAGTATTATTATCAGAAACTTTAAATTGTTCTCTGACTTTAAAAATTACAGTACGAAATATAACTGAATCACTTGGTTTTCTCATCTTCAGTTTTGGTCAAAAAGTTCTGGTGAATACCGTTAATTCTTTTAGTTGGAGAAAAGGTTTTCATACTTAATCCATTTTACAAACTCTGATGAACTTTCATGCTAATACACAATGTACAGCATAGTATATCTGAGTTAAACTTGATGCATTTTTTTCACTAATTGCTGATCACCTCCTGTTGTCTGGAATGTCCCTTCTCTATGGCATACTTCTCCTCTCTCAGCTTTCTGATCTGTTCAGCTTTCTCTGTGTCCTGTTTCTTCCAGCCCTCCACAACTTTAGCAAGGGTCTGGAAAATAAAAGTACAAAGCTGATGTTGCTGCAACTCATTTTGTAAGGCTTCTCGTGTACATGTATGTAGGTACTTCACAAGCAAGAAACAATACAATTTTATGCAACACAAACCTGCTCAGTGTTTTATATTATATATATCTATTATACTATACTTGATACAGAAGAGTGCCAAACCTTATCAAGTTGTTCAATCATGACATCTTTCTTTTTGTCAGTGGAGACAGCTACGGCCAGTTGCTGCTGCAGTTCCAGAATCTATGGGCAAAAATTGTCAAGTGAACGATAATATATTGTACCTTGGTCACTTATAGTACTTACTATATTGTACTTGTACATTGCAAAGTACAGTATATACATGTAGTGACTAAGTCATTGTTAGCCTGAAATTTACCTTAAGCTGGAAACATTTATATAATAGGTTTGATGCATCTTATTAAATACTACATTGTACATACAAGTTTTTTTTTAATCAAATTGCACCTTACCTTACTCTGGAGCTCTTGGATTTGTTGCTCACAATGCTGAAAAAATGGAAATCAAATGTAGGAAGGTAAAGCATAACACAATACTTAGTAACAGTCCTGAACACATTAGTAGCAATTTCAAATATAACAACTCTTTCTTTTTGTGTATCACTAAATCGATTATGGCAGTAGGGAACATATCACAAGTGTGTACTATCAAATATAATGACAGGTTAAAGCGCCTTTAGGATAAAAACATATTATGTGGTCTTATTCCTTCTAATAGTATTGATGATCTACTTTACCTTGCGTCTGAAACGTTCCCTCTCCACGCTGTCCCGTAGTATCTGGTTCTCCACATACAGGGACTCGGACCGACTGTTACGCCGCTCGGACGCCAGTTCCCCGTCCACTCTGCTTGACCACTGGCCCCGGGCGGTGTGCATTCCACTGTCCACTGACACGGGCGAAACATCTTGTGACACCAGGACTGGTTTTGCACTGGAATATGATAGAAAAATTAACCTCTTGTTCATCAAATAGTTTGTACAAAGCTACTTTTTTTTCAAGCTCAAAATACAGTGTACAGTCAAAACTGCCCAGGAAGACCAACCAGGGGACTGATGAAACCTGGTCTATGTGAACAGGTGGTCTGTAGTATAGACAGGATTCTTAATGATTGTGTGAATAGCAATTTAGCAAAATTAAATTATCTAGTAAAAGACCACCAAAAGTGGTCATATTGGCCAGGTGGTCCTTATGTAGAGGTGATGCTTGTACAGGTTTGAGTCTTTTGATTGTACAATACTCGCTAACTGCAGAAAAAAGCAAATTGCTGAAAACTGAACATACAAGCACACAGTTCCCTTACGTTAGGAGTTGAGTGGTTGTCGCACTGTCAAAAGACTCGTCTGCCTCCTTCCTGTCATGTCTGTCAGCTGTCAGCAGGCCCAGACCTTCCACCCGATCAAAACTGTCTCTATCTGTGGGCACAAACACATGGGGAAATATAATAATGTTACACTACAACAACAAGGAAATCTACACACAACAGGATACATGTAAAAGGTAAATGTAAGCACGATAGCGGGGGGGGGGGGAGGAGCAATGGATTGTTTCCACTGTGTCTAGGACATGGTATTGAATGGCAGAGCCCGTCCCTCTCCTTCCACCACCTTTTACCTCTAAACTGAAGTCGGGTACCCATTTTACACCTGGGTGAGTGAGGAAAGTTGTATAATGTGTCTTCCCCAAGGACACTCGGGATGCTACAAGGCAATATCTAACCAGGAATGCCAGGGATAGAAACCACAATCTCTCAATCTCAAACACTACAACTTCACAATGGATATTTAAAACTTACCTGCCATAGCCTGGCCCAACTTCAGCATATTCTGCAGACTGTTCCTGACCCCTTCCATCTCTCTGATGAAAGTGGAGGGAGTCTCAGTTGTAGACAGGAATGACTCCACATGTGGATATCTGGCTGACTGATGACTGGTCGCAGTGGACACCACTGTGAGACTGGGACTCATGTCTGTGTTTGTGGTGATCGGGCTTAGGCTGTCAGCTGTACATTAAAGTGTAAACACAAAGAAAATGTAGTTTGAGTTACAAACATACTAGTGCCCCAAGTTTAGGTACATACATTAGTATATATTATATACCTGTAGTAGTATTGATCTCTGACGAAAATTGCAAATTATCTGAACTTGAGAACCTCAAAAGGTTGTCTCAGAAGGGTAAACCAATCATTGTAGTACAGTCTATATCTGTATCTAATAGCCAGTATAACCGCCCTTTGGCGTAACACACCAGCTTACAATAAGTTACATACCAGTCTACATGTGTATTCTACTCTAAATGATGAAAATTGATAAAGTTCTCAATGTACACATGTACTCATAAGAAAGCAGATGAGATATACAGGTGTACGTGTACCTGCACGTTGTTGTTGTTTTCTCCCATGTTGTTGTTGTTGATGTTGTTGTGCGGGGCTGCTGAAGTGCCGAGGGGCGGCAGGAGAGCTGGGCACACTACTGAGCGGCCCCACCCCGCTCATCATGTCATCATCATCATCACCCACAGACAACGCTGCCATCTCAGCAATGTATCAATCTATCAACCCAAAAACAAACAAAAAAGAAATGGCATTTATAATATAATTATATGGTAGCTACCATGTCTGAAGATTTGGTTTTGCTTTACTAATTACAATTACAATTAGCTTTGGTTATTTACGTCCACTCCTTACGTCTAGCAATTGTGGTAGCGGACGTAAACTACAAGTAACTATAAAATGTTGTTGTTGTTGTAACCAGGATGGTACGCAGGCTACTAATTAGTCTAATTAGCATAATGGCTTTTGCTGGTTTTGAACTTGAAGAAAAATATTAATTTGCATATTTTGTGTGGCTTCCAAATTTTGCAAGCTACATGTGTTTGTCACTGGAATTTTTTTAAATTGTATATAATATCATCATAATATGGCAGGCACAGTTTAAAAATAATTTTTATGTACACACCTCAGCTACCATGGCTAGGTTTCTAGTCGTTTCCCCCCCATGCCTTTTCCCCCCCATGTCAGTCTGGTCATTTCCCTGTCAGTGGTTATGACTCCTAAAGTTATTTTTTTTCAATCTAAGATAAAATTATGTAACTATAAGTGTTTACATGTGATGTCGTTGTTGCATACTACTTTCTTTTATGTTGACTACCGTTTTGCCTGATGTTAGCACAGCGCCAGATGCAGTGACAAGTTATACATAAATATCCACGATTGAAAACATTGACACGTATACCCCCCTCCCCAACTTGCGCGTTTAAATTTGATTTACAAACGTGAAGCTGAGTTGTTGATACTTAATAGCAGACTATGTAATGTTCCCTACCTTACAATGGCTTCCTTTGATCACTTTGCCTTGGAAAATAGATGCTAAATGCCATTTACCGACTTGTTGTTTTGTTTCGACACCAAGCGGGCAAAATTTGAACTGTCTTCGATCGGTACCTTATTTGCATAACATCGTTCCCAGGTCCTTTAAATGTTGCTTCAGATATTTACTATCAATGTACCGAGAGTTGCAAAAACATATGGATTAATTACTCAATTTTATGTGTTATCCTTGTAAAGATGTGCACTATCCTTTCCATTTCTGCTCAAATTAAGACAATAACACAGTTTTACGTGCAAGCACTCTGAGCACGAGAGCATACAGAGTAGTCCATTCAGTTTTTAAGGGGAGTTGCGTATAACCACTTGATCAGTTGATCCCAACGATCAAAGGAGATGTAGTTTTTTGTCCGAGTGTTTTACTACAATTTTGAACCTCTTACTAGTAATAAACAGTTTTTCTTGACTTTTAAATCTGCTAAAGAACCAGCCATTGGTAGAATGTTGCACAAAGCGTAACAAAACACGCGTGTTAAAAAAATGATCCTGCTCCCTACATCTGCTTGAACAGAAATGGACCAGTCCACGTATCACATGATACGTCACAGGACCGTGGCAGAGCAAGGGGGAAGACGATAAAATTTGCCTCTGTGACTTTCTAAGCGAAGAAAGAAGATTTTCCAGGTGGCACAGAGGACTGAGACAACAGACAAGATGAAGAAGAAGGTACAGTTGTCACTTTTGTGTTTTATTTCCCAGTGTTTAGTGATAGACGTGTCTCGTGTTGGATGATGACATCATTGCCCCCCTCCCCATATCCAGGGTTTCATGACCAAAAGTTCGGATAAGGTCACCTGCAGCTGTAGCACAGCGGGCAGCTGGGGGAAACCTAAACTCGGGCATAAAGAAAAAAAAAAGCAACATTTTTGCATGTTTTCGATGATAAAATGACATCAAGCATATTGGCCAACACTGCTTTGAAGTTTTAATAATGTCACCAGACTAGGGTAGCCAGCCAGAATTTAATTTATATTATAAAGCGAAATTTCATGCATCAGAAAATAATTTTGAGATGATGGTTGTAGGTGAACCACCCTCTAGAAGGGAATGTACAACATTGTTGGGTTTTGCCATATGTATTTTCATTTGTTAATACTTTTTGTAGTCAAATTAGTTGGTACATCATTGCCTTAATGTTGCATCATCTTCTACAGAAAAATTGGCCCAGTAAAGGTAGAAATTAATTACCACTGCTATTGCATTGGATGATTTGAGTATCTTTCTCTGTCTAACTTTTCTTGTACCTTCTCTCCCAGGTCCTGTTAATGGGAAAGAGTGGGTCGGGGAAGACCAGTATGCGCTCCATTATTTTCGCAAACTACATTGCCAGGGACACCAGGAGATTAGGGGCTACAAGTATGTTCATTTGTATATCCTAACTTTTGACGTAACATTTATTTCTAGTGTTAAGGCCCTGTGTTGCAAAGATTGTCATTGTGTAATTCACATGTTAGCTGTTTTGCCTGAGATTTCTAATGGATTTTTTTTTCTTCCCATTGCAGTTGATGTTGAACATTCCCATGTTCGCTTCCTGGGCAACCTGGTTCTGAACCTGTGGGACTGTGGAGGGTGAGTTAGTGTGGAGTTGTCAGAAAATCTGTAGCGATAATAGAAAAAGGCCAACTACAAATCAGACATTTCAGACACCCGGCATTGTCAGGGGTTCTCATAAGTATGTTGGAGCTGTTGAAATGATTCTATGAAGTAATGCCCCTTATCGTCTATGCAACCATATTCACTGAAACTGATGAATATCAAATCATCCTTCTGATTCCTTCCTTCTGCAATGCTTGAGCAACCAAACACTTACAAACACATACACACACATAAACCTGGCTAGTGCACAATTCAAAACATAACTTCTGTTTGCAGATGCGGAGGTAACAAATACTCGCTGCAGAGCCTGCTATGGAAGGTAAATGTTTACGTTCTTTCCCCCCAGTCAGGAAGCGTTTATGGAGAACTACTTTGCGAGTCAGAGAGACAACATCTTCCGTAACGTGGAGGTGCTGATCTACGTGTTTGATGTGGAGAGTCGAGAGCTGGAGAAGGACATGCACTACTACCAGTCCTGTCTGGAGGCCATCCTCCAGAACTCCCCCGATGCCAAGATCTTCTGTCTGGTCCACAAGATGGACCTGGTACAGGAGGACCAGAGGGAGTTGGTGAGGGATTTTCTTTGTTTTAAATCCCCAACCAGATCTTTCGGTGGCCACAAAAGACAGTATCAAATTGGCCAGGTAGTATCCATTAGCTAGACAGTATCTGTGGCTAATAGACACTCCTCTGGCCATAATGGAGACTACCTTGCCACCGTATGATCTGCTTGGAAATTACTTTGTAATCTAGGCTAAGACAGACTTTGGGCTCTTGTATTGTCCGACACATGCCAAGGGGCAGTTAGGTTGGTCAAGCAGGCTTGGTTGGCAGTAATTCTTTTGATTATCCTTCTAGGTCATCCAACGCAGGGTTTTATTCCAGGGTCTGTCATTTTGACAGAATTTTCCTGCTGATGACAGAAGAGATTTAGTTCTTCATTGAAACGAAATAGTACTTCATGTATAAGCACTGTGTATTAACACATTCTTGAAGAAAAGGTCTTTAAAACATCTTCTTTCATGTCTTTAGATCTTCAGAGAAAGAGAGGAAGACTTGAGACGCCTGTCTAAACCACTGGACTGCACATGCTTCAGAACGTCTATATGGGATGAGACACTATATAAGGTACAGCTACGTTTGTACATTTTTAACTAGAGACCTTTTTTTAAGCCATTTCCTTCTCTTTTTCCTCTTCTGATTTCCAAGTTTAATTGTTAACATCCGTTAACGATTTGTTGAAATATGTAGAAAGTTTCAATAGAATTTTGTAATCTGCCATGAATTTTGAAATATCCTGAGATACTGTGTTATATGATTTATGTCCTTTAGACTTGCGGTATTGTAGGATATAAGGGTATAAAAGAGAACTTGAACTGCTTACAGTTCAGATGAGTATTACTTACTTACACACATATGTATCTTGACCATTGTTGACCCCTGTCCATTGCAGGCGTGGTCCAGTATTGTGTACCAGCTGATCCCTAATGTAGAACAACTGGAGACCAACCTGAGGAACTTTGCAGAAGTCATTGATGCAGACGAAGTGTTGCTGTTTGAGAGGGCTACATTCCTGGTCAGTACTTAGTTATAGCTATTTCTACCTATTGTAAAACTATCTACAGAGAATGGAGCAACAAGGGAATACAAGAAACAAGTACAAGACTAAGTGTCTTGAAATCGGAAGATACCGCTGAAATTCTGGTAAAATCTGTAAATTCAGGTATAGAATGTACTGTAATGTAATTTTCTCCCATTGCAGGTAATCTCCCACTGTCAGAGGAAGCCACACAGAGATGTCCACAGGTTTGAGAAGATCTCCAACATCATCAAGCAGTTCAAGCTGAGTTGCAGGTAAAAAATTTCAGCTTCAAGCAGTCCTGCAACAAAACGTACTAAAATGAAGAAGCATACTTTGTATTATGCCCACTAGAATCATGTTTAGTCACATGTAGTCTTACTGTGCTGGTGAAAAACAATGCTTATAATTTTTCCTTGTTAAATCCACAGCAAGTTGGCAGCGTCCTTCCAGAGTATGGAGGTTCGTAACTCTGCATTCGCAGCCTTCATCGATATCTTCACATCCAACACCTATGTCATGGTCATCATGTCTGACACAAGCATACGTGAGTATATTCTCTATTTCTATGTTTACTGAAGGAAAACGTATTGTTTTTGCTCTGTTTCCTCTTCTTCTCCAAACCAATAAGGCCAATGACCTGAACCAGACGTCTGTCAGTATGGTAACTACTAAATTAGCGTTGGGTCACATAATGTTGCAATTTTATAGCAGGAGGGACTTAGACTCCTGTCTGACCATATATATGTATACATTTTTTGTACCAAAGAATGATACTTTAGATACAATTTCTGGTTATTATGTTTCAAAACATTAAGCCACTATGTCTGTTATCCTACAGCCTCAGCTGCCATGTTGATAAACATCAAGAATGCGAGGAAGCATTTTGAAAAGCTGGAGGGGTACAACAACGCTCAGATGCTACTCAAGTGATGGGGTGACAATGACTACAACAACTAACAACAACAACAATAAAACAACAATATTCTGTATCCAAGTAAACAAGACTTGAAGTGTACAACATCTGGTGTACACAAAGGTTTTCCACCATACAGTGTGAGGTAGAATCAACGACATTGAACCTGTACATAACTTGCCCTGTGTTTCTACCTCTGTGTCAGTTGTAGCCATTTATATTAGTGGTTCAGCCACACAAGTGGGCATCAGGCCACTGTAATTCACTCTGTCTTAATGGTAGCAAAATTTCATGGTCTGAGAAAAATGGACATGTTCGCAGAACTTAAATCTTCACAGTGGTGGGAGGGAAGGGGGCAAAAGACAAATGATTTGATAAAGGTAATGATAAGTTCACGGTACAGAAGTGACTGGGAACATAAAAGCACCGTAAAAAAAGAGCAGGAATCACAATAATAAACCTATTGTATAGTATGTATACTCTCAACACACATATAACCATATCACCCATTCAAAATTACATTACTTTTTGGCAATGCCTCAGGGGCGGAGACATTCTATATGAAGGGCTAGCTATAGGCAGGGGGATTGTGTGAAAATCTAAAATCTTTTCTCTCTTAATGTCTGGCCATGAAAACATGAACAATGCCATTTATTAGGTAGTTACCAAACTCTCTAGGACTGTGATTATGAGAAATCATGTTCCTTTATATAATTCTATCTAAATTTAGAGTCCTGTTGACTTTTTTGTTTACATCTCTAATGTCTTATGTTGACCAATGCAAAGCTTGTTATCTTGTACAAAGACTATTGTAGCTACATGTGGCTGTACATTATTGCACAATGTTCAAGAAAAAACGCTTTGCTGTCAGTTGACCTATGTTTTTGATTTTCCTTATTACATTTGTACAATGTCTTACATGTACATGTATGTATTGGTAATGCATTACCATGTTTAGCCTGTAATTTCCCAAGATTGTACATGTGTGCAGTTGTACTTCAGTGCTATGGGTCTGAGGGTTAAGGGGAAAAACTTTTCGTATGATTGTGATCACAAATGCTGCTTTATAGGTTAACATTTATTTTCCATTTCCATGATGTTATTCAGCATTATGCCTTATTGGGCCAGTAATCTGTAGAAAAAGAAACTGATAGCTTTGACTTTTTATACACGAGAAATAGGACTGATAAAAAATGTTTGTATTAAATTTACAGGAAGGTTCTGAAAGTGACTTAACCCTTATCTGGCTAAGGTACCTGTATTTGTGTTGGTGACCGGGTTAGGCAGCAGGGAAAAGGTTAAGTTCAACATTGAATCGCTTGACATTGAAACTCTAAAATACTGGACAAACGTGGAATTGTACTACTGATAACTAGCATTATTCTGGAATTTTTAAATCCAGGAGAAAATGCGTTGGGGCACTTATGTATTTATGATTATCCATATTATGAAATCACCATAATCATAATAAATGGCTTTGCTTTTTGTGATTTAGTTTCATTCATATAAAAAAGAATTATACAGTTGCTGTCAAGATTGTTTAGGGAAAAAGTGGACAATGTTGAGGGCAGCTATGATACAGTATATGTAATAACTGTTATGACAGATACGTGTATGTAGGATATAACCTAATAAAACGCTTTGATTTTCAAGAGGTTTGCAAACTTTTTGCTACACAAAACACTAGGACTGCAAAATTTGAAAGAGGCTATTATAAAGGTTTGTCACTGTTTGTTATACTTATTATGACTTAGCATCTATTTTAAACACAAGAAACCTGAAGTATACACCATTAAGTGCATTGTATACCTTAGTAATATACATATGTATCTTTGTATCTTTGATTCGGTCATGTTTACACAAAATGTGGAATAAAGACAAAGAAATGAAGTTAAAGATGATTTTACTGTTAGTAACAGATTGTCTGACAGAAGTGCATCTACATGTATTTCTGTATCCACAACACACATGCCTGTCTGAAAGGTAATATTAATAACTTATACATGTGAATATGCATGTCGTCACAGTACCTGACTCCTAGAAAAGTCCTAATCTTAATGTTGCACTTATTTCTAACTTCATTCTTAATCTTATCAGTCATAATTGTACTTCATATCGATCTTAAAATGACTATTCATACTTAATTTTAGATAATAAAGTGAAAGAAGTCTATCACACTACACAAGTATACCCCCCATTGTATTCAAGTGTCAAAACATTTCCATGATACTTCATTCCTTGCTAATCAAAGAGTGACAAAAGTGACAAAGTAACAGACTTACTAACAGTAACTCTTAATATAAGCAACTGAATACATTCTGAAAACAGTCGGATGTTTCAGGTAACATCCATTGCTTTTTGTCAGTGCCATACACGTACATGTAGGTTGGCTTCAAACTGTGAGAACAGAAGAGACCTGTTGTGTCGAAAATAAAGTGCCAACAAAAAGAAATTGGCTAGCCACCTTGGATAAAGTGGTTAGTTTAGTCATTATTACTATAAGAACCATATTTTCCATCCAAGATTCCTAAGGCTCTTTCACATCATCTTTAAGTTTACAGTACTTCTCCGTTGCCATAGATATGTTCACAGTCCATGCCTTCTGTTTTCTTACCACTGACTTTTTGTCCACAATACCGTACTGCGGTACGTCGAAAACGTAAGATGTCACATCTAGATTTTTAGACCTATTTGGTCACATTATCTGTAAGTCTACAGTACTCCTCCATTGCCATAGATATGTTCACAGTCCTTAACATCATGACTGCCCGTGCCTTCTGTTCTCTTACCACTGACCTTACCATTCGTTTGCATGTCCACAATACCGTACTGCGGTACGTCAAAAACGTACGGCGACATGGCATATGCTTCAGATTTATCATCGTCAGGGATAGTTTCATATATGCCGTTAGAATCGGCCTCTCGTTTCGAAACATCACGAGAATTTTCGTGACCATAAGCATCATTGATTTCTACTTGAGAATCGAGAGCACTAATGTTGTTCACAGCTTGGCCCGTAGCCGTGTTGTTAACGTTGTCGTGTGAGACATTTCTGCCCATTTTATTCTTAAAAACTGCTGCGTACACAGCTAAGAGTGTGCCACAGAACACAACTATCGCTCCAACAATTAGAACAGTCAGGGCCCACCCTGGTGCTGTCAGGATGCTGGATTTTGGAGGTGGTTCATCAGTACCAATGGTTTCTGACATTTCTGTCACAGACACAGTGTGCTCACTGTACGTCTTTCCTGAAGTTTGCTCAATGAGGTTGAAATTGAAAAGAGACATCTTTTCAACCTCCTCGGTTAGTTCAAACCTCACAGTTGAAGAAGCCACCTGACTGAGGGCCATTGTACCGTTTTGAGCATCTGTCATTTTTTGGGATACGTTATACATTTCAGCCTGTAGTGTTTTGATTGGCAACAAGGACGTAGTGAGGGCGTTTGAGACAAGAGGGTCTGGACTTTCATTGGGACAGGAACGCTCTGGAGAACAAGTATCCGTATTTACAACGGTTCGTCCTGTCTCATCCATAAATAAGCACCTCGAGATATCGATTGTAAACAGCCCTGCCCCCTTGTGGTAGGAAGGCGAACTGCAGAGGAACAAAGACGGGTCTTTGTACATGTGAACTGCGAGAGAATTCCTCTCGTAGAGGTTTTCACAAGTCTGTGATGCAGCATATCGACACGCTTCCGTCAGTCTGGCTATATCGATAATCCAGGCTATTCTACAGTCGCAATGGAAGGGGTTTCCTCCTAACACGGCGTCGTATTGTACCACATTTGACTTGCCAAAGCCGAGATCACACAGAGACAGAGACGTCAGGCTGTTGTGAGAGAGGTCGATCTTTCGCAAAAGAGGCACGTAGGCCTGAAAGAGGTTGACGCAAGAAATTTGGTTATGCGACAAGTCTAGATGCGCCAAATTCGGGATGTGCTTTAGGCATTTCCACGGAAAATAGGCGATTTTGTTATTACTCAGCTTCAGCCTGTTCAGATAGGGCAGGGCCATGCACGGAAAGGCTGTCAGCGCGTTGTTCGGAAGCGCCAACTCGAAGAGCGATTTTAGCGGCAATGGTGTGGGAACACTCGTCAAAGCTTTATCGTCACACGATACCATGACGAGGCTATGTAAACCCTTCGTTTCGCAGTTTAGCAGCCGCAGTTCTGACTGAATCTGTTCGTCAGGTGTATCCGAATTCTCTGCTATGTTTACAGGGGCAAGAATCAAAACCAACATCACTACCATCAATCTAGGCGATCTCAGAAGTCGGGAGTGAATGTTTTGGCCCATGCTGGAATTATTGGCAGGCTAAATAGACGATAGACAGGCTAAGGTAGTTTATGATAGAATATGTTGTACTGTAACTTTAAATCTAATTTCTGTACACAAAAGTCTTCAGTTTTGTACCTATGTTCACTTCGAATGGTAAAGTCAGTGTACGTAGTTTGAGAAAATAAATTCCAGAAGGTCTGAAAAGGCGTTTGGTATGAAAAAGGAAAAAGGTTACTATCACTACACTCTACAGGGTACTGATTTTATTACTTTCAATCAATGAAAAAGTGGCAGTGCACGTGAGCGAGTATGCATTGATATATAGACATGCAGTGGTTGTCTCTGTTGGCTAGTGTAATTAAATGGAAGGTGATAATTAGTTTTCACCACGACTACTAGTATATGGACCGGGTCGGTGGAAAAAACGGTCCAGTCCCGACTGGTCGTGGACTACAAACCAAACCACGCGGTAGGCCGTCTCCGTTAGCACACTTGCGTTGATCTTAGGCGTAGACTGTGAAAAAGAAATAATGTCAGCCCGAAAATTTCAACGAAGTATTTTCCAATCGAGAAACAAAGGATCACACGTTACTCTTCGCAAAGTTGCATTAACGTTATATATTATATTTGTTTTAATTTCTAAATTAAATTAAAGTAAAGCATTTTAGGCAAGTTTTACTGTTCATGCGTTGTTAGATTTGAGATAAAAATCAATGTGTTGATGGAAGAAAGCTTCTTTATAGAAAGGGAAAAATTAAGCACTTACTAGAACCTTAAAACACAGGATTTCCCCACACGTGTGTCGCTGTTGTGTACACGTGGCACTCCCTGCGACGGCACAGTTACGAAACGAGCAGTTAATTGTCTAGTGACATAAATACATAATTCAGGAAAGTGTAAATGGGCACAAACAAGAAAAGGAAATATGCAGTTTGTTTGCAGAATATTTATTTCCTTATCAACAAGGACTATATATGTTAGTTGTGTAGCTGCTAAGCTGTGTAGCTTTAAATTCAATGATTGGAATGCAGAATAAAATTTGCACACTTTGAAATTGCAACTGCATGCAACGGTTGATTCACTGTGTACAATTTACTCCTCGATCAAAGAGAACACATCCGAACTAAAAAAATGTATTACGCACTATATATGAATGCTCCAATAAAATTGATAAAACTTCAACGCCAACGTACATTCAAACAAAATCCAACACAAGATATCCAGCTTAGGCAACGGTTCTTCTGCACTAGAAACTCAGTGTAGAAACTTACTTTTTAAACACATCCTTCGTTTTCAATCGTTTGCATTATCATTATTTCCCTTTTTAACATATTCCACATACAGTTCTCTCTCGCTTGCCATACGTTGTTATTGCGGATTGATATTTAAAACTTGTTACCTAAAGTACCTTACCTTGTAAGAAAAAGCCAAGCCAGACTGATACACTGCCTCTCTTCACAATCGTGACGGCAGAATGAGGAGTCTCGTCTTATCGTGACGTCAAAGAAAATGATCACGCGGCACGACAAATTGTCTATTGCAAAATTAAAATGTCCTAGAAGTAAATGGTTGGCCTTTTTTTTATTCGTTGGTGAATGCGTGGTTATGAAAGAACACATGTAACGGCACATGCGCTTGTTTGTTACTACTGGAACATGTTAGCGAATTCTGGGTCAATTTCCCAGAAGTAAATTGTTGGCCTTCGGATGTTTTTTCATTCGTTGGTGAATGATTGGTTTTACTTATGAAAGAGCACGTGTAACGGCACATGGCTTGTTTATATAATTTTTATTGACCTGTTACTGTTAGAGAAATCTGGGTCAACGTAAAGACTACATAACATCTTGAATCACATTCGACTAAAATTTCCCACAAGCAATAAAGGGACTACATTTGTAACCGAGTGGAGGTCCAAAATTTATCGGAGAAATCTGTCAGAGGACCTCCGTTGAAGCGGTTAATCAGATACAAACTAACACGGAAACAGTTACTCAAGCAACCGCATGGATAGATTTTGAAAACTGTCAACTGTCAGACGTTTCAAGTAGCATCCACTAGTTTTCGTGACTTGAAACACCTGAAAGTTTTTGAAATCTATCCATGCAGTTTCTTGAGTACATGTAACAGTTTTCTTGTGTCTACACATTTCTTGCCGACCTTCACGAACCAATAAGCCGTTTGTTGGCTACGCTTGGCACTAGCAAGACAAATAGATGGTTCATATCACTTTGCTGTGGAGATGCTTGAAGAGTCATTGGAAACTAATCTCCAAGCATATCTTGTGGTGGGGGTAAGACAGTATCACATTGGCCAGTCTGTATCCATTTGCCAGACAGTATCCATTTCCCCACCGATACTATCTTACCCCCAACGAAAGATCTGCTTGTAGATTACTTGAAAACAGTAGCATAACAATCTCAGAAAGTCTCGGGCACCTTGTAGAGACTGGTGTGCTACCGATCGTGCTCGCAAGAGGGGGCTGCTCTACGTGACAGAGTAAGACTGGCTAAAAGTAAACGCTGTCTTCCGGCAAGCTAAACAGGGACCACATGTAGGCCAAGTTTGAAAACGTAAGCTCATGAAAATGAATTGCCACCTGCGTTAGGTAATCAGATTTAAGATATTTGTCAGAGATAATGGCTTGTGTTTTTAATGATGTCGACTCACATCAATTTTGGAAACCCAAATTCACAGTCAATTTGTCTTTGAATATATAGGGGGATTTTTCACCATTTGAGGCAGACCGGACAAGACCATAAGTGGCTCCATTTGCGACAGAAACAGGAACAGTTGCAAAGACCTATGCGAAGATAAATAGGAATTGATACTAGTATGTACATGTGGCCTGTTGTTTATTAGTTTCTATGTACCGGACATATGGTACACAAATATGTCGAAAATAGCCATATAACGTTAGCCATCAACGTAGAAGTGGAGAAGAGAGCAATTTTTTAAATCTTACTGGCCTAACGTTTGAAAAGGTGCCGTTTTATATCACTATTAGTGATTACAAATAACTATTTCCTAACGTACTTTACTATTAAATCAGTGTGTTTGATCTTTTGGGCGGTTGTTCCAGGGTTATCTTATCTGCTGACCCTTACCGCTGCCGAGTTACTCATTGACAAGTGAAGTACCATGAGCACACATGTCCTACATGCTCAGTTCATGACTTACATGGTGGAAAAAATATAGAAATTACAGTTTGGTCAGTTGTTTGTTTCTATGTGAGTATACCATTGCAGGAAGTAGCGTTATGAAAGGAAGTTGACACTTAAGCTCAATTGCAATGTCATCGATCTATTATATGAAATGCTACGAATAGAACTTCAAGTGGTAGAAGCATATGTTTGCAGTACTAGTACTTACTTCTACAAATAAAATGAAAAAGGGAATTATTTCGTAGTGCGTGCTACTTTGGTACGAGTAGATGTATTTTGGTAGGCACTAGTTCTTGATGTCTAAAGGTGAACGGATCCCTTCAGACGCAAAACGCTCCGAATGTAGCAAAGTAACTAGCCTGATCCTCTCTCTTTTATCACAAAAGATTCTTGATGAGATGAATCGCTATTCTGGTATTTGGGTTTGTTGCATATCTTGTGTCGATTGTGTGCGATGAATCATAAACATTATTGTAAATATTACGACAAACAAAATCTGTACATGTACAACATGATTCTGGCAATTTATTAGACTTCTTCCAGTGTATACATACACTTTGGACATCTTTGACAACTTTGACAGAGCATGATATACATGGTAGCTTGTGGACAGTACTAGTAGTGGTTTACAACATCACACTATTAATGTTGTATACCTGTAGAACTTCTTAACTCAATCAGCCAGGAAATATTCCTGAAAATGTTTCCTAACCTGCATATAGCAGTAAAGGAACTGAGATCTGCTTAGCGCATGACACATACATGGTGCATGTATGTGAACAAACCACGTGCACCAACGCTAAGCTTACATAATATCATAATTTAAACGTTCAACTAATATAGCTTACTTTGTCACTTGCTCTCGACAAAGAGAGGAGGTTCTGAAACACTTAGTGTTTGAATTAAACAAACACAGTCTTCACAAGATTGTTGCCGTACGACTTTCAGTGAGGTTATGCAGAAATGACTATTATCGCCGACTAGGCTGTACCTTAAGTTTTCCCGTTTAAACATCCACGACTGTACTAAGAATTTTCCCAATTTGCGACGTGTGACGTGTGACAGGGGCTCAGGCGGTGACGTTCCCTGGAGTGGCTGAAGTCGGGGATCCCAGGCGGGCGGTGGTTGCCAGTTCCCGCCGCAGGAGTGCTGCGAACACGCCGCGTAGATCGCCCAGGAAGGCCCGGTACGCCAGGAACACCCGGAAAACGCGGCGCTGCATCTCGTACTCACTCGCGGGCTGGCTGGGGTAGTGGTTACCGGCGTGGTCGCTCTGGAGGTCGTGTCCCATCAGATGGGCCTGTTATGGTTCAAAGTTTGTTATTACATGTACTAGTATGTACTTAACACTTGGCTGAACCTAAAACATAATAGTCACCAAAACGTCGGCTGAATGAAAGACTTGGCTGCGTACAAAGTGTCTCATTATTACGAGTAACTAAAACACAATAGTTAACACTGATTGAGAGTTCGAGCCAAAAACAGACCTACCGTTTGGGCCAGAAGTGCCCGCAGGTACACAGTCTTGCCGTAAACCTGCACAACTAGCTGATACACCCTCCTGGCACCCTCCTCATAGACGACATCCCCCTTGAAGACGACACCCCCCTCCGGAGCGTCACTGTTGACCATCGCCAGCTCGTCCTGCATCACAGCGCTAATTTCCCGCTCGTAGATATACAGCTGAGAGGAGAGTCGGTCCAGAATCTCAGAGTCCTGCCGGTACAAATACAGACAGGTGAAGGGGTGTCATCCAACAAAAAATATAATCTAAAAGATATTGAAATAGCTCGTGATCAATGTCAAAATAGTTTTCTGTTTGAACATGTTTTTTCCGGCCGGAGGAAGAAAGAGGGGTAGGCAACGGAGAAAATGGGAGAATGGACAAGCATGGCACTAACTGAAACAATTAAAAAGGAAGAACAGAAAATCGAGAAGGGTATAATGATCACCCGGTCGTCTGTGATGCCCCAAACGGTCGAATAATTACACTAAGGGATCATACTAGTAAATGAGAGATGAGATGAGATATTTTTGGGATCGGGAGACCTTTACTTCTCCGGTCGGATGTACACATGACTAACCTCCAGTCTCCCAGTCTGCACGTCATCAGCAGTCACTGTGCCGTTTCCCCAAGCCGGCAGCTCCAAGGCAGGGGTGTAATTTGGGTCTCCGAAGTGAACTTCGCGCTGAAGGAACAAAAATGGTTTCTGTTACACAAAAGTACCAGTGAAAACATGTAGAGTAAAACAGCAATTCATGACTTAAAATGATTATCAATTCTGTATCGCTATCAACAGAATTTCCATTTTATCTTACCTGTTTGTTGTAATATGTTCTTGCATATGTACATGACGATTGTACGAGTCACTAACCATACCATTGCTTTTCTTACGACGAATACAATTACCTGTTTTACGGTAAAATTTTTTATCAATTCATCCTACTTGTCAGACACACAACCCGTTATGTATTAACATGAAAAGGCCATGAGATCAAACATGTCCCTACCATGGCGCGTATTGTCTCCTCTGTCAGCGCTAGGGTCCAGTTCGTTCCACGGATGTCGGCCGACAGGGCCTGGACCAGTGTCGTCTGGAAGCCGGGGTCTGGGACGCGTGGGACGGGGGTAGCGTAGGTGGGGTCCCGCAGATCTGGGGCTTGTGGGACGGGGGTAATGTTGGTAGAGTCCGCAAGGCGTGGGACGGGGGTAGCGTTGCCAACCGTGGGGTCCGGCAGGTAAGGGACGGGGGTAGCGCCCTTGGTGGGGTCCCGCAGATCTGGGGCATGTGGGACGGGGGTAACGTCGGTAGATTCCGCAAGGCGTGGGACGGGGGTAGCGTCAGTAGGGTCCAGCAGGCGTATGCCAGGGGTAGCGGTCGTAGAGTCCGCCAGGTCAAGGGCACGTGGGACAGGGGTAGCGGCGGCAAGGTCCGGCAGTGCACACGCACTGTACACCAGGCCGAACAAGTACAGATGAACAACGGCCTCCATGTCTCAGCCTCTCTGAAGAAACTTTGAAGCAAAGACTCGAGCTTGATCGAGCGGTGTGGAATAAATTGTACCCCTCTTTCCTGGGTTTTTATCCATTTCTTGTGTCCACAGAAACAAGAGACAACTCTGGAGGTGGACACAACTTTGTCGATGTCGTAAGTACGGAGTTAGATCGGGTATTCACCGAGGTAACAACGCTTCCAGGAATCAGGAATGGCAACGCAAAAAAAGAAGATATAATATTTGGTCACAAATCGATAAATCTGTTTATTCAAACCTTTCGGATTTAGGATTACTCATGATACGGACAGTTCTACGTACACCTACGCTCTTACATGTGCTTGAGAAGCTTCCCGAGTTTCGGAAAGTTACAAATATAGCGAAAAATAGAGACATAGGATAAGCCTTCTGTCTTGGGGGAATTTAGCAGGACACACCTCAATATTAGCCTCCTTCGCAGTCTTGTTGGGCGTGGGCGTTATTTTTTCTCTGAGCGACGCGAGTAATATGCGGCCGCGAGGGACGATTTGCTGCCGGCAGAAAATCGTCCCTCGCGGCCGCAGTATTACTCGCGTCGCGTCGCTCAGAGAAAAAAATAATGCCCACGCCCAACAAGACTGCGAAGGAGGCTACCTCAATATAACCTGTGCAAATGGCCATCTTGCAACAAGTAGACATTCGAGAGGACTATATCGATTTATTGGCTTATCTTCATGTATTTTAGATCGCAGTTGTCACCGTGACTTGCTGCAGCTTTTAATACTTTGATTGTTTGGTTTTGGTTGCCCGGGATCATGATAGTGATCATTATACATTATAATTTTTACCTGAGCAAAGTGTAAAAAGTTGTGACAAGAAGTTGCAGTGCCTTTCCCAATTCAAGGGCACAAGGTTGGTGACTTTTGGCCGGACTCAAACCCTGGACCACTTGGCTCTGAGCCGAATGCTCTGCCGTTACGCCACACAACCCCACGACGACGCAATATTTGGCCACCAGTACTAGTACTATTAAATGATGATGCAATATTTGTTTGCTAGGAAAAACAAATAAACCGTCCGTAAAAAGATCGACTTCCTTGTATGTCCTGACGTCTTCGCCACTATATGCAACACACGCTCACACCACATATATGGAATATAACTCATTACTTATATAGGTGCGTGACAGTGATTATGATTACGAAGTGCTTTGTATGATGATAAACGCACAAAGCTGTTCAACCTTCTTTCCACTTGCTCAATGGAATTTGTTGCATTTCGCGCTATAGACAAATCCATTCTAGAAGGTAATAACCCTTACTGTGTACAAATAGGTAAATATATAAAAATGTTTAGACCTTAGAACAAGTAGTATAAGTTGATTCAGCTATATAGTCTTGTGCGAAGGTCCATTCCTTTGTACCCACGTATCTCTCTGTAACGTTACGTTAAGTTTAGACCTTACGAAAGTCGCTGTACTTTTGCTGTGTCAGTAAAGGTCTCTCTCCATATATATCTTATGTTCGAAGTTCATGGGAAAATTTAACATCTGTCAAGCAACCTAGCCGGCATGAGCTAGCCGCTACAGACTTGAAATGTAAAATTGTCTACAACTCATAAGTTGTCCGGAGCTTCGTATGTATATAAATCAACCAGTTGAATTATTATAAGTATACAATGTAAATATTAGTCGCAATGAACGAGAAAGCAAACTGCACACAGTGGAAAATTCCATTCCATTTCAGTTCATTGTTACATTTTATGACGCCTATTCGACGTTTCCCAGCATCCTCTGCGCCGAGTCGACACGTAACAACGTCTCGTCTGTTACGTCGGCCGGTTCTAAACTTGCAGCCAATCAGCGATCCGAACGCAACAATGAAGAGACATGACGAGCCGCATCACAGGCAAAGGTTCATTCACAACTGCGTATTTGCTACGACAAGACGTCCTAGTACGTTTCTCGTAGAGCCTTACAGTATCTCGTAATATTTGCTTGAGTTAAGTTGTGTATAGAGTAGGTGAGTCAGTATGCCCGCAGTATTGTCCAAGCTGCCTGACTGGGAAGGCGTCAGATATATGATCAGGAACATCTATCCCCCCGTAAGTACTGTCCACGTCACGTGTAGCTTCTGATCTTCCTAAAATCGTGAAATTTCCGGAGTCATGTATATAGAAATCACCTTCCACAATCAAGTTCTTCCGCCTATATACAAGTATAGTGAAACACGCATCTGCTCAGTGTAAAGATGTTCATTGTTGTAAAACTTTAACTTGTTTTGCGGTATTAGTCTATATTTTCCCGGTTTCATGACTCCCTGTTCACTGACTAGATTAATTAAGGTTCCGAGTTGTTCTAGAACATACTTGCTCCAGCGCATCCGGTACTCCAATACGCATGCGCAATAAGTTAGATGGATTAGAACGCTGGGCGCTAAATTTAATATGTGTGTGTGTGTGTGTGTATGTATGTGTCTGTGTGTGTATGTATGTAAGTGTGTGTGTGTCTGTGTGTGTGTATGTATGTATGTAAGTGTGTGTGTCTGTGTATGTATGTATGTGTGTGTATGTAAGTGTGTGTGTGTGTATGTATGTAAGTGTGTGTGTGTATGTAAGTGTGTGTGTCTGTGTATGTATGTATGTAAGTGTGTGTGTGTGTGTATGTATGTAAGTGTATGTGTGTATGTATGTAAGTGTGTGTGTGTCTGTATGTACGTGTATGTAAGTGTGTGTGTGTCTGTATGTATGTGTGTCTGTATGTGTGTGTGTGTCTGTATATGTGTGTGCGTGTCTGTCTCTGTGTATGTATGTAAGTGTGTAGGTATGTAAGTGTGTGTGTGTGTGTCTGTCTCTGTGTATGTATGTAGTGTGTGTGTGTGTGTTTATGTGTATGTAAGTGTGTGTGTGTCTATGTGTGTGTCTGTATGTGTTTGTGTATGCAAGTGTGTGTGTCTGTACAGTATGTAAGTGTGTGTGTCTATGTGTCTCTGTGTGTATGGGTGTGTGTATGTTAGTGTGTACGTGCATCTGTGCGTGTCTGTATGTGTGTGTGTGTGTCTGTATGTATGTTAGTGTGTGCGTGTATGTATGTAAGTGTATGTGTGTGTCTGTCTGTGTATGTATGTGTGTCTACGTGTGTGTCTGTAAGGGTATGTAAGTGTGTGTGTCTATCTCTGTGTATGTATGTAGTGTGTGTGTGTTTATGTGTATGTGTGTGTGTGTGTGTCTGTATGTATGTGTGTGTGTGTGCACGTCTGTGTGTGTCTGTATGTATGTGTGTGTGTGTGTCTGTATGTAAGTGTGTGTGTGTCTGTGTGTGTGTGTGTCTATGTGTCTGTGTATGTAAGTGTGTGTGTCTGTGTGGGTATATGTAAGTGTGTCTGTAAGTGTGTGTGTATGTTAGTGTGTCTGTCCATTCATAGTCATACATACCTACACTATACATCCATTCATTCATCCATCCATTCATTCATCCATCCATTCATTCATCCATCCATTCATTCATCCATCCATTCATTCATACATCCATTCATTCATACATACATACATTCATTCATACATACATACATTCATTCATACATATATTCATTCATACATACATACATTCATCCATACACATTCATTCATACAGCATGGGGGAGTTTGCAGAGGCTGCAAGCGCCAGTTTTCCCTCTATGATGTAAGTGTGACTCTTATTAGTTGTGTAGAACTTGGTATGTTTTTAATTACATGTACATGTTACTTAAGACTCCAGGAAGACTAGGGAAGGATATACTTATATATGTACTATCACCAATGGAGTTTTTTGAAACAATAAACAATGTGTCTGTATGAAGGGTAATGTGTAGTTTATATGCACATAGAGGAATATTTCAAAAGATGGCTAGACGCTAGAAATTCCACCATAAATTGTAAAGACATGTTTTCATCACATACTGTACAGACTCTCTTGTAATGTAGATTAATCTCTAAGTATGTCTGTTGTATTGTATACCAGGTAGATGCTACGTGTATACCAGGTAGATGCCACAGTTGTTAAGCTATTTATTTTCTCTGTTTCTGGACAGAGTATTAAAGAATTAGAGGCATATTTGTCTTATTTTTTTGTATGTAGAAAAGTCTTGGGATAAGAAAATCATTAAGTTATCTTTAGGTAGTATCATATCTTTTGTTAATTTTTTAAATGTTTGATCACAGTCTTGTCTGTCCTTTCCTGCAGTTTAATAAAACAAAAATGTACGTTTGTAACTGGGCCATGATCATGTGTGCCTTCCGACCCCTTCAGGTGAACACACAGCACTATCATGCAGTCTGCCCGAGCTGCTACAGGACCCACTGGTGCCTCAGGGATGACTGCACCTTATGCGTAAACTCCCTGGGGCGCCCGTGGGTCAAGAAGGCCAAACCAGCTGCTCCAGTGAGTATATAAGGCCACACCGACTTAATTTTATGGACGACATCCTCTGAAGACCCCCAAACTAGTGCGCGTGGGCGAATAAAAAAAAATTCAGGCCAAAAATAAAAATGCAACTTAGCCACAGGAATACAAAGCTGGTATTGAGAATTTGTGGCAGTACATAGCGACGTATATGACAAGTGAGCTAGCTTGTACTTTTTGAGGAAGTTATGAATCGGCACTGTACGTAATAATAGTTCACAGTTCTTGAGTCTTGGAACTTCAATAGCCTGAGTGCTGTCCTCCAGAGTTACCACCGCCTCCGTGTTGTCGCTAGCTACCATGGACTACCCAGGCCTAGAGCCAGACTAGAGCCTCAAAGGACGTCTTTTTTTAGTACAGGCAAAAATCAATGCGCGTGCAGATGGCATCCATAAAATTAAGTCGATGTGGCCATAAAATTCAATTTCATTCTAGACGGTAATAACCCTCACTGTGTACAAATAGGTAAATACAATCATGTGGAATGTTTAGACCTTAGAACAAATAGTATAAGTTGATTCATCTATTGTCTTGAACATAGGTTAATTTCTTTGTATACTCACCTATCTGCGTGTATGTTTGCATGTAGTTTAAGACCTTACAAAAGTCGCTGTACTTTTGTTGTGTCAATTAAGTTCTGAAATATGTCAATTCCTTGGGCCAGTATTTTCAATCAGTTGATTACTAGACCAGCGTTCCAGTCAGCATCCATATTTCTGTCATTTGAGGAACAAAGTATTTGTACGTTTAAAAGTGAACTTCATGGAAACAACATTCATATGACTTTTCAGCATGACTTATTTCAGAATTATATGATTTCAGATCGATCCCAAAACTTCAAAAAGACAAAAAAAGAACAAAAGAAAAATTAAAGAGAAGAACAGTGGACAGAGAGCCAGTGGTGAGAAGGAAGAGGACGGTGTTGAGAAGGAAGAGGACGGTGTTGAGAAGGAAGAGGACGGTGGTGAGAAGGAAGAGGACGGTGGTGTGAAGGAAGAGGATGGTGGTGTGAAGGAAGAGGACGGTGGTGAGAAGGAAGAGGACGGTGGTGTGAAGGAAGAGGACGGTGGTGTGAAGGAAGAGGACGGTGGTGTGAAGGAAGAGGACGGTGGTGTGAAGGAAGAGGACGGTGGTGAGAAGGAAGAGGACGGTGGTGTGAAGGAAGAGGACGGTGGTGAGAAGGAAGACGGTGGTGTGAAGGAAGAGGACGGTGGTGTGAAGGAAGAGGACGGTGGTGTGAAGGAAGAGGACGGTGGTGTGAAGGAAGAGGACGGTGGTGAGAAGGAAGAGGACGGTGGTGTGAAGGAAGAGGACGGTGTTGAGAAGGAAGAGGACGGTGGTGTGAAGGAAGAGGACGGTGGTGTGAAGGAAGAGGATGGTGGTGAGAAGGTAGAGGACGGTGGTGTGAAGGAAGAGGACGGTGGTGTGAAGGAAGAGAGGGGTGGTGAGAAGGAAGCGAGGGGTGGTAGATGGAGAAAGAGAATGAGACGAGTGGCAAGATGCATCCTTGCCCCATTCACTTGCTGCATTCGGAAGAATAAGGAATGAATAGTAAGTAAATTATCTTTGAGATAGACTACATCTAATTAACAACTTAACAGAAAAAGGCGCATGGAAATACAACGATAAGTGACCACTGTAATTTGTTTTATTTGTGACTAAGTCACCCAAATTACATCATCATGATAGTTTTACTGTTGTCCATGAATTGAAATTTGGCAAAGACAATACTTCAATGGCATTTTGTGCACCTTGATAGGATAGATATGAGTACAGAATTGATGGATTCTTGTTGAATTGATGAGTAAAAAGTAATACGAGTAGTATGAGTTTTGCTCCTCTTCTGTTCACCAGTAGTGGGAGTGAACCTCAGCCCATGTTCTGTCTGTTTCCCCAACCTCGTCTGTGATCTAATTGGAAAAAGACAGAAAAAATCACATTAATATATACTGGTAACCTCTTAAACATGCTCAAAGTGCATCTGATATGTGAAAAAAAGTATGTGTATCTAAAAATGTAAATCATTATCTTCCAGAATGGACAGAATAGTGGTGAAAAGGAGAAAAAAAAAAAGAAAAAAAAAATTATGCAGAAAACATTTTCATGTACTTTCCATTTCAATGCATTCAATGCATTTCAAAAATGCATATCATGTAACACACTATACAAGAGGGACAGCCTCTTGAAATACATGTACGAGTACATGTGGGATCACTATAACTATATAGTTATAGTCAATACAACTATTTAATGTATTACTGTTTGTGTATGACACTTTTTTTCATTATCATGCCATTCAAACTACAGACAGACCAGCAGCACATTGGACAGCGCACACACCATGGAAAGGAAGCCGCCTAGAAGCAACAGAGCCCTTGTGCACATGTTACCAGATGAGGAACACATCTGCACTGATCGATGACTGACTTAATCTTAAAAGGATTGGATCAGTGAACAGCAGCCAATCCGTTAGATTGTTGTACGACAATTGTAAGTTCATAGAATTGAACTTACATCACGACCATCCGTTATATTATTCCCCCCCTTCAACTGCCATTTGCCCTTACCCCGGTATATGAATTTAATCGATGATCTTTTCTAGCAGAGACGTTCTGTAGGCTAACAATTCTACTAGGCAACTATCAGTTTGCAATTTATATATATCACATTTTTAAAGAGTTGGAATTCCAAAATTTGCCCCTATATTGCAAACACCCTCCCCCCAAGTCCTATGATGAACCTGGGCTGACTAGAGCCCTGATAGTGTTGTGTACCAGTTTGCTGGACTGGTTCCAGACTTGTAAATTTAAAATGTTTAGGTTCAAGTCAGAAAAACTTGAATATCTGGAACTGATTTGGGACTTATTATTTAAAACATGTCACATTCCCTTTTTTGATCCAAACCACCTGAAATCTTTAATAGATCAAAGGTTTGCAATGCAAAATGAAGAAAACATTGCCGTTGGGCATCACCAAGTGTTGGCCTCTGTTACCGTGAATTAGGTGGCCACAGTTTCGCCAAGTTGCGCCGCCCAAACAACTTTTTTCTTAAGTTATCCAACCCCTGGTAGTGCAGTGCGTGCTACAAAATTTTGCAGTGACATGACACCAGGAAATGTCTTGGAGTGGGACAGGAAATTTTGCAGTGGCCACAGTTTTGCCAAGTTGCGCCGCCCAAACAACTTTTACTTCTTAAGTTATCCAAACCCTGGTAGCGCAGTGCGTGCTACAAAATTTTGCAGTAAAGCCTCATTTTCCATTGAGAAATGTTCACTGAGGAGTCCCTTCCATATTTTGTATATGCCCTGGGTTTAGGTTCAGACTTAGGTCCAGACCTAAACTTAAACCTCTTGACTTGAATCCAGACCTGAACCTAAACATGGGTTTAGCACTAATATAGAGACAAGTATTTTTAAAATTTTTTTTTCAAGCTTCATTCAATATACAGCAAATTTTACAAACATTTACGTAACAAAAAAGAACATGCATAAAAATCATCATAACTATGTCATTTTAGTATAGAGAGTAAGTGATACAGGTTTTCAGCTCCCACTGTAGGGAAACTTCAGTACGGGAATCAGCGACGTTCCCGTCACAGAAACAACACCCCCTACAAGCGACAGCGTCCGTGTGCGGGCCCGAACCCCCCCCTACAAGCGGCGGCGCCCGAGTGCAGTCACAACACCTCTTGGAAGCGAATGGCATTCGCGCGCAGGCACGATGTTCTCTACCCTCTAGAAGCGCTGGCACTTGTGTGCAGGCACGGCACTCCCTACAAGCGATGTCGCCTGTGTGTGGGCATGACACCCCCTTGAATTGTGAATGGTGTCATGCCCAGACACAGGCGCAGTCGCTTCTAGGGGGTGCCTTGCCCACACACGGGTGCCATCACTTCTAGAGGTTGTCGTGCCTGCACACGGGTGCCATATCTCTTCCAAGATATTTCCTGGTGTCATGCCTGCACCCGCGCATCGCCACTTCTAGGGGGTTTCAGGCCGGCACACGGGCGCTGTTGCTTCTAAGGGGTGTTGCTTCTGCGACGGGAACATTGCCAGTTCCTGTACATACCTGCAGTGAGAGCTGGAAGCCATTGCAATTTTCATGTCAACTGTTTCAAATCCAGATTCGCCATCACTGAATTGTATTCGATTTACAGTTTTTCACTGACACATTACGTGTATATTGCACATAATTTTGATCAGTTGACAAAACTTTTATTGAGACTTACAAAGAAATGTAGTACAGCTTGTAAAACAACAATTGTTCATCATTTATCAATTTATTTATCAGATTCTAAACATTAAATCTACATAACCACTCCAATGCTTGCTTGCTTACTGTTTGTATCAACTACATGTACATGTATTACTAGTATGTACATAGTTTTACAATTTTAGGTAATTGATGAAGCCAGTCCCCTTCTTAGCCAAATTCAAGCCATATTTAGACATACATGGATCAGCAGTCAAAGACTCTGAATGTAATTTGTGACATGTTGAAAAAAGAGGGAATTGGAAGTGAATATACATGGTTTGAAATACCTAGTTGGCCAGTTGCACTATGCAACCATATTTTCTTTGTTGCAACTTACGTATACTGAATCAATATGTTTGAGGTTATCAAAGTTAAACGACAGAATATTTTCTATCATTAATAAGTACACGGCTCCTTGCAAAAATTTCAAGGGCAACTTAAAATGATGAGCAACCCAGGTTTGGACTGTGTGTGAATGTGTGTGCATGAGTGTGTATGTGTGTGTATGTGAGTGTGCGCGTGTGTGTCTGTATGTGATTGTGTGCGTGTGGGTGTGTGCACATGTGTTTGTGTGAGCGTGCGTGCGTATATGTTTGCGTGTGTGTGTCTGAACTAAGGTCTAAGGTAAGTACAAAAAACATGGCTTTCTCACCATCCTTAAAGTCGTCAAACTCTCGCTGCTTCCTGAGCCGCTCCTCGTCATCTCTCTCCTCCTTCTCCTCCTCCTCCTCCTGTTTCCTCTCCGCCTCCGCTGCCTCGTCAGGGACAACCCGCCGCACGTCATAGCTGCCTGGTTCTGCAGGCTCAGGTACTCTGGTAGGACGGTAGAAATAGTTTTAAAAAGTGGCAAGATATTGAACCTTGTGGAACAAAATGCATTTCAAAACCTACCAGTAAACTTACCAAAATTGTGAGGTATCAATTGTAATGCCTCTTGTTCTACATGTACTACATCCAATTTCTTGGCATATAAAAAAAGGAGATGGTAAAGATAGACATTTTGAGGCCATAGCGGCAGTTGGTAATGTTCGTTCACTGTGTCTAGGGCACAGTATTAGAAGGCAGAGCTCATCCCTCTCCTTCCACTGCCTTTCTGAAGTCAGGTATGCAAATTAGACCTGGGTGGAATGAGGAAGGTTGTGTAAAGTGCCTTTTCCAAGGACATAATGTCTAGCCAGAAATGCTGGGGATTGAACCCATGACCCCTCAATCTCTTGACTGCTAAACTAACCATCTCATGCCTTTCCAATCTAACACCTGTCCCATCTCACACCTGTCCCATCTCACACCTGTCCCATCTCACACCTGTCCCATCTCACACCCGTCCCATCTCACACCTGTTCTCACCTGTTTAGTGCCTCAGCTGGGATTTTCCCCTCCTGTACTTCCTTCTGTAGGTACTCGTCCATGCTCATGGTGGGGATGCTGGGATAGCCAGCACCAAACACCTGTGCCTGCAGCTTGTCTCTGGTCAGGATGAACGGTTTCAGGGGCTGAGGACAACAGAGGAACAGTTATCAACTCCAAGAAATTTTGTCTTACAAAAGAACCTTTCAGTCTCTCAGCCACCAATTTACAAGGAAGAAATTTGTTTTTTTTATAACACAGGACATACTACATTTATTTTGAAATTCCCATAATCAGACAGACCTCCCTATACAGTCAAACCTGTTAGTACTGAGGGACTGAGCAAAATTGGCCTTTGAGAAAGAGTGCCTGCCCCAAACAGGGATGGTCATCCGAATGATAGGCACATGTATATGTTATCTGGTAATAGCATGCAAGTACATGTACACAGCATAACCTAAGAGCAAATTTTATAACTGAATTCAGCTTCGCTACATCAAAAAGAATATTGTACTGCATCTGAATTCAAGAGAACCAACTTTGTCCTTGGATCCCTTACCATTGACAGAGAGGTACTATAACAACCCACCTTTCTGTGTGGCTCTGGTTTCTTCTGTTCTTGTGGTTGTGAGTCTTGTTTTCCCTGTTTTCTACTGGCCATCATGTGTAAGATCTCCAGTTCCTGGTCTATACTGGACAGCTCTCTCAGGGCAGTGTGGACCCATTTCTCCAGCTGCAATGTGTAGTACTCGCGCTGTAGTTGGTAACAAGGAAAAAGACAAAATGAAAAAAGATACATGTACATTGTATGAACAGAGCTGTGAATTAACCCTTAGCACGCTGAAGTAGCCATTTGGCTACCTATCCTCTATTGGTTACGGAGTTACTAGTAGGTAGCATAACTACGTGTACCCTTTAACCTTCTTCTTGCTGCCTAATCCCATCGCCAATACAAATCTGGTGCCAAAACATCTAATTTAGCTTGCTGAGGGTTAAACTGCGTCAACCCCAGTGTTCTCATTGTCATCAGGTCCCTACACGTCTAGTTTTTGACCACACCTCAAGGGTGGAGCCTTTTTGACACTCCACTCAATGTCATCATAGACCGATCCTCAAGCCCCTCCCACCTCCGTCAAAACATAGAAATGAAATATTTAAAGGACATGCAGACCTCTTTCATTGGTCAAACTGATAATTGCCCTTCTCTCATTGGTTGAACTTCTAATTGTGATGGACATTCGGGATCGGCCTATCACCTGTACTTCGTCATCCTCTCCTCTTGTTTCCATGGTAACCCTCATGGCCTCCAGTTTCTGTTCTGTCTCCTTCTGTTGTCTGAAGCGAGCGATGGTGGCCTCCCTCTGCCTGGACATGGCCGCCATGTCTGTGGGACCGGCTTTACTGCTGCTGGACTCAACAGACTTGTACTCCTGTATCACACAAGTAGGTTTAAATTTGTGCCAAAATTACATGCACAGTCTAGAGTACAAGCTACAACTACAAGACATCATACTACATGATGTATAAGGCAAACAATAGATCTACGGTAGGAAGCAACTACTAGTATCCCAAAAGAAACCACCTTCATTGTACTTGCAAATGTTTTACCATCAGGTAAGATTCTAATCCAGCTGACTGTTACCTAGCAGTAAAGATTTGTCATACCCCCCCCCATTATCATTGGTACAGTCCTGACTCCACTCACCTCTGAAGTCACACCATAAGACTTGCAGACCTTCAGAAACTCAGTGAGATAATCCTGCAGAAAAATAATTGGCAATGAATGCAATTAACTTAATTACTTCAGCAATATTAAAGAATATAGGGGAAAGAAAATCCTCTTTCACTGCATGCATCTACAACATTTTGAACAATATAAGCCCACCAAACATGACTAAATGATAGAAGTTCATAAAATATGAATCACACAATTCCCACAATATGCCTATCAAGCCTAGCCTGGGTACCATCCGGATTTTCGCTCCACAACGCTCGAAAATCCGGATGGTACCCAGGCTATATCATTTGCCATTCTCGATCTCGATCTCATTACACATGTAAGATTGTAAAGACTATCTTGTGAGATGTACCTTAGACTTCTGCACCAGAGCTAGCCTGTCTTCACCCATGTGTCTCATTGTCAGGTCACTCATCAGCACTGGTAGTAACAGGTATCTGGAACAGTCAGGTGTTATCATCATCATCATCATTGCCAGTCCAGTCATCAATACAGTCAAACTTGTTGACCTTTCTAAGCAGGGGAATGGGTGCTGTGTCCTTATACTCCATGGTTAACAACCAGTTTGCTTCATGTCAGGATACATGGGTGGACACTGCATGCAATTCTACCACGTTCTGTCAGGGGGCGCAACTACAAATAAGAAGGTGAGGCTGTTTCCACCGAATGAACAGTCTGGACTGGACCACTTTTTCCACAAACCCACAACCATCATATTATACGTATTATATGTACGGACATTTGACCAGATGTATGAAAGACTACTCAAACAGAATCCTGACCTGACATTACAGGTGGCCACTTCTTGTAGCTCTTCGTTTTCGCTGAAGAGTTGGAGTTCTCTGACCATGTGTGCAGCCTGTTCCAGTAACCCCATCCCTGCTTTCACCTGGTCCTGGGTGAGGATGGACGAAGATGATGATCATGATCATGGTGAATGGTTTGTTTGGCATAATTTACAGAACTTCTGAGGCTGATGATTTAGCCTGAATACCAGACTGTCCTCAGGAGCTATAACCTGGCCAGCCCCAGTTAGACCAGGTGAGCTAAGGATCAGGGATGTCTATGGTAAAATTTAGGGGCATGTTGGCCCTAGAGCCGTTGGGCTAAGCCTATATCTACTGGCCCTGTCAACTGTCGGTATCCAGGCTACTGCCTGGTACCTAATGGCTTGATACCTTGATACACAGTACAGTAGGAGAGACTACTGATGATTTATAATATTTATGATATGAACCAATGTATTTTGAAAGTGTGGTACGTATCAGAGATGATCTGGGTATGAGTTTTCCTTGCATAAGCAAATGTGATCGCTGTAAATTCTTTTACCATCTCTTTGCAGGAAAACCTGACATAAATTATTTTCGCAACAACAACAAAGGTGGACTACAACAACAGTTACTGCAAATAGTTGTAATATACTCATGGAAAACACAGCAAAAATTCTGAGTTTGTACCTGTAAGTTTGGAGATCCCGTTGGTTCATCGCTTTTCTCCACATCCCTCTGTATTTTCCACCCTCGTTCAAAAATCTCCGATAATTTCGGCCCGTCAGATCCCTGTTCTTCCGCCATGGCTATCATAGATGTAGACTGTACCACTCAAGTATGGGTAACATAGAAATATTTCTATGATATTATTCACCATTAAATAGACTATTACATTCAACATACAACGTCTACAAGTCATGAAATTAATACATATATACTTTTCTTGACATGTTTTCACATTAATGTTACTTTATCATCGTTTATGTATGATACATTTATCTAGTTTATTTCAGTATCCCCCTAACAATGTTAGTTCCATCCAACATGGCGACGTCCATGGAAAGGTTGCGGGTTCTCCGTGGGCTGATACGGGAATTGCGGCACGTACACAAGAAGGTGACTGATACAATTAAGTCGTGGTGGATAATAATGTTATGTAGATGTTATAGATCTGTAACATAAGTAGACTGAGTTGAAACAAGACACTGGACGACAAAAAAAGAGATGTACAAAAAGTTGCCCCCCTCTCCACCAGATTTTTATGACTAGATAGATTTGCCTTTTTCATTATTTTTAAAGTTACTAAAAGTTTGCCACTCACTCTGTCTTAACGTTTCGTAGCCGGAGTTGGAAGTCTTAATGCATTAATTCCGTTTTCTGAATCCAACACCTCACAAGTATTTTTTTCCCTATTAAAAGAAAATAGGTAACGTAATGTAACCATCGTGTGTTCCAGGGTCCAGTGAAGGAAACCATAGCCTATAACTACCTGATGGAACAGTACCGCAAACACCAGGTCACCGACCAGAGGATCTGCCGGGCGCACCAGGAACTACAGCGTAATGCCGAGACTTACCTGTGTCTTCTTAAGAGTACCAGGTTACAACAGGTAAGACTTACCTGTGTCTTCTTAAGAGCACCAGGTTACAACAGGTGAGACTTACCCGTGTCTTCTTAAAAGTACCAGGTTACAACAGGTGAGACTTACCTGTGTCTTCTTAAGGTTACAACAGGTGAGACTTACCTGTGTCTTCTTAAGAGTACCAGGTTACAACAGGTGAGACTTACCTGTGTCTTCTTAAAGGAGTACTAACCTCCAGAAGGAAGTGCTATTTTCCGATACATCATGCTGCAATGAATACATAACTAGCCGACTTTTTACATAATTTCGCCTGTACGAGTTGAGCGGAGCATGTTTGTAAAGTGGTATTAATATCATTTTCCCCCATGCTGAACCACAATTGATACATCCGGGAATTCTGGCTTACGCAATACTCATACACTTCAGGTCAACATAAACATTTTTCGGCGAAAATGGTAGGAGACGAGCACATTAACAAGCTGATAATTGAGAAATTACTTGCTTTACTTTGCTTGACCTGTGGCTTGGATATTATAATATCAGGATGTCGAATACAGTGGGAGCCAGTTTCATCCTGCGTGTTTTGATTTTCTCAACTTATTTGCATGTAAGTATCACTTGAACAGATAATTAGATTACGCCACTTATGGAAAGGATAACTAGATTACGCCGATTTCTTCATGGTCAATATTTGCGGCATAAATGAGGGGCGATAAGGACACCAAGAAGGGCAATGGTTGGTAAGATACCAAAGAACACAAAACGGTATGAATTTTTCTTATCGCCCCCAAAATGACGTAACTTTTTGTTTAAAACATAGACACTAATGGGGTAGCGTGGTGTATTCTGGGATAGTTTTGAGGGTATTTGGAGAGTTTGTCCTGGATTCGATGCGTTTTAAGACTTGCGCGCAAAATGATCATTTAATTGTATACTGTAAAATAATATGCATTTTTCAATTCCAAAAATAAATGCCTGTCGAAATATAGCACCTCCTTCTGGAGGTTAGTACTCCTTTAAGGTTACAACAGGTGAGACTTACCTGTGTCTTCTTAAAAGTACCAGGTTACAACAGGTGAGACTTACCTGTGTCTTCTGAAGAGTACCAGGTTACAACAGGTAAAATGTTGTTGTTGTTGTCTCCGAACTATATTAACTGAGGACAATGTATATTTTATATTTTTGTAATTTATCTATATATAGTTATAAGGTTTCAGATGTGGATCTCACAGGCAGTTGCCTTTTAATCCATTAAAAAAATGTATGTATGTATGTATGTATGTTGTCCTTGCTTAACATCTAATATTTCGCTAGACATGGTGTCCCGGTGCTCGTTTTTGCACGGTTCAGAGTCAAATTGTCTCTCTAGGTATAACTCTTGGTGCCTTGTAAAAGGATCCTAGGTCCTGGGCATTGAATACTACAAGTACAAGGTCCAAACTTAAGTTTATAATTATGGTGTACATCTAGCCTTTTTACAAATATGCAAATTCCAGATATGCATTAAGATTCACAGTACTAGTAACCTTCCTGTTTGTACCCCCAGGCCCTCCATGCTGAGTACTATGGGAAAGGAGAGAAGACAACAGAAGAGACGGCGAAGATGCTCGGCTTTGATCTTCCTCAGAACCCACCTGACAAATAAACACACCTGCACTAGTCTGTAAATATGGAGTCAGGACTCAGGACATTACATCATGTGCTTTGGAACTATTACTGGCATGTTGCTAAGATGGAGTCTAAATCTCATCTTGCCACAGTGGTCTGTTGTACTATAATTTATAGTATAAAGAATATCTTACAGTTACATATAGCTACATGTAAGTTACAAGAACTAAAGACAAGAAAGATGAATGAAACTCATCCAATGCCATGGTTTTCAGATCCCAATCTGTACAAGCATAACTTAACGTTTTGTTTGTCTGTCGCTGATGTTGTAACTATTCTGTAAATCGTTTATCGTTTCCAAATGAACCAGTAATAGTTCAATTATTATTGAAGTTATGCAACAGCTTTATATGTTTTGCATATGGATTGTTATCGTAAGCATGGACTTTGGAAAGAAACAGAAGTACCATCCTTTTTCAGAATAAAAAAAAGTATGAAGCCACATCCTTGAACTACGTATTTGTTTTATTGTGTAAAAAGTTCTGTTACAGATAATTTTAGATTTTGTCAGTTTTGACATCACCCCCATATAACAGTAGACTGCTCCAATGACCCAATTGACCCAGCCTGTGCCATCTTTATTTTGCATCAATATTCTCCTCTGTAAAAATTCAGGAAAAACTCCCAGATTTCACCATAATTTCTCACTAGTTATCAGGATAAAATTTTCGGGGCTTAGAAAATGGTGCTCTTTCGCGTAGTTCTGTTATATCCTCAAACTTTGCTCAAACATAACGCCCCTATGGTTTGAATGGTTTCAACCAGTGACCTGTGAGTTGCGACAATACGATGTAACCAGCCGTAAACTTGCATGTGACGAAAGGAAGATACAACAAAGGAACCGCCTATATCCTGTTTTCATACGACACCTTCACTTCTCTACAAGCGGACACGACGCTACAAGCGGTTGGAACCGCAAAGTTCCGCTGAAAAATCACCGTGACGCGGTGAAAAGTTTGCCGGGCCGGTGGACCGCTGTAGTACCGCTACATCACGCGTCTTGCCACGATGGACAAGAAGTTTGCTAAAGAGAAGCCGAACCCAGTGACAAAGGCCGGCCTTCTCTCCAAAATCTTCTTTTGGTAAGCCGACTCAACGATAGACCATAGTCATGCTCTACTTTTAAGAAGATATAAATAATCATAATTTCATAAATCGTTATTATCGTTACGTAACGTTACCCTAGCCGTAAACGTGTCATACTTTTAAAGATACTACATGTAGTATGAAAATCATAAATCGTTATATATCGTTACGTTCCCTAGCCGTAAACATATACTTTTAAAGATATGAATAATCATAAATCATATGTTATTATTACCTATACCATGGAGGTAAAAATATATTTTTTTTTACCTTCATGACGTTACATTGTACGTACCCTATATATATATATAGCTAGCCGTGGCGACTCAGGAAGCCTTTTGTATATATACCGGAAGTCAGGATATACATTTAAAAAAAGGCTTCGTGGAACGGCTATACGCACCATTACTTACTACTAGCCTGATACTAAAAGGTCACTTTTGGAAAGGAGTTGTACATGTTTTTGGCAGATTTGTATTTTTTATTAAAAATTTGTTCTTCCCTATTGCTAGCTTGGTAAAGGCTAATTCTCAAGCATCATCTTTCGGTGGCAATGATTTAAAACTTTTCAATAGAAGTACTGAAAGTAATGTTGTTGTTGTCTTTGAGTGATGACGTTGCATAAAATTTGTGTAGGTGGCTGAATCCATTGTTCAAGACTGGCTATAAGAGAACACTACAGGAAGATGACATGTACAATGTCCTGTATGATGACAGTTCACAGAAACAAACAGATGATCTTGAAAGGTAAGGACCCCTTTTTTGTTGAACAGTTCAGTAGATTATTATCAACTTTCCCCACTAGCTTCTTGGATTTCTGTCAAATACTAATAGCGAGCTGTAATAGCACCTTTAAAACTTTGGTTTTAAGTAGTTGAAGCATCAGGTGCTTTTTTCTTAGCTTTACTTCATTTTAATACATGTACTATTATTGATTTGATCCAGAGAATGGCAGAAAGAGCTGGACAAGGCTAAAGAATCTCCCAAGCGACCACCCAGCCTGAGATGGGCCCTGTTCAGGCAGTTTGGTGCCAAGCATCTACTGTGTACACTGTGTACACTCTTTGTGGTAGGTACATGATGTACATGTACTAGCAACTGATGACAACTGCCACAGATTGCACTTAGTCTAGTTTAATTGTAATTAGTTGTCTTATATACTACATATAGCAATCTGCCACTGCTGCCAAGCAGGCCCCATGAACAATGAACTTAAACTTGAACTTTGGAATTATTTTTTATGTTGACTTTAGGCTCGAATTTGATCTTGATGCAATACTGTGTACAGCCTAAGTACCTGTACGCCCCTCAGTTGGGGAAAAACACACAGGGGGGGGGGGAAGGAATTTGATATTGTTTGTTGTGCAGTAAAGTCATAGTCTTTGAGACTGACCGACAGTTTTTTTTCTCTAGCAGTCTTATACAACACTTTGCTTTACATTGTACCTGTTGTGCAATAAACTTTGACTTGAATTGCAGGAAGCTATCAGAATAATTCAGCCTATCGTGTTAGCCTGGCTGATAGACTACTTCTCTCCCGAGAGCACTGTGACCACAACACAAGCTTACCTGTACGCCCTGGTCATCAGTGCCGGGGCCCTTGTTGTGACTGTTATACACCATCCCTACATGTACGTCCTCATGGCACTGGGATGGAAGATGAGGGTAGCCTGTTGTGGGCTCATCTTTAGAAAGGTATAAACTGCAGTGAAGTATCCTTTTCTCAATATCTATCCACCACTTTGACTCTAGATCAGGGCTCTATCCAACACCAATTTTTCTGTCAATTGCAGGAACTTTGTGGCATGTGATGGAAATTTTTTTAAACCAATCCGTCAATATTGATGAAAAAATCTTATGTAAAGATACAAAAACATCCAAAGGACCACCACCAACCACTCTCAACCTCACTCTCAACTTTGCCTCTCAAAATGTTGGAGATTGAGTTTTTAAAGGATGATGAACCTGGGCTGACGGAAAAAGATTTCGAGCCCTGCTCTAGAATAAAAAGAACTCAGATTTCAAACCTTTGAGGTGTTTACAGTTTTTGTGAAGTTATTGGCACAACCGGAGGAAATAATCAGGAACGTAGACATGTTCTTGCAAATGCGCTTTTAAATTGCACTGTTGTTTATATGTTTGTTGTGCAGGCATTGAAGCTTAACCACACTGCCTTAGGGAAGAGCAACACGGGACAGATTGTCAACCTCATGTCTAATGATGTCAACAGGTTTGATCAGGTATGTTTTTCATCCAGAAGTAAAGAAAAAAATTAAAAGATTATGACAAGGACGAAGGAAAAGACATCAGTTGGTAAATATGTTAACAGTAACTGCCAAAGCACATCAAGATGGAATAAACAAGAGCAAAAACAGTAGCTATCAGGGTTTTCATGCCAGTTTTAGTGTTAGTTTAATTTTTCAGACAGAGTTGGTTTAATGTAGACTGATATATTTTGTTTTTGTTTAGGGCTTCATGTTCTTCCACTACCTGTGGATTGGGCCAATAGAGACTGTAATAGTGATCATCCTGCTGTACAGAGACTTGGGACCTTCTTGTCTGGCCGGGTTGGGATTCTTGTTGGTCCAGCTGGTTCTGTCAAGTGCCATCGGCAAACTCTTCTCTAAATACAGGTAAAGAGGAAGAGAACTACTGTAGGAAGGCTAAAGAAATAGAATTGCCCTTCATGTGGAACTCCTCAACATGACAGCATTGTGGCATCAAAAAGCATTTAATGCTAGGCTAGCAGACACGAGATTGGTAGGTCAAAGCCTGGCTAAAAAGGAAAAAAGATTGTTTTTGCTACTTTTTTGTTTTTGCTGTTTCCTCTTCTTCCGTTCCAAACACTGAACTCTGACTTGGCCAATGACCTGATTTGTTGACGTCTCTCACCATGGTATCTGGTGTTGGATTACATTATGTTGCAATTTTATAGTAGGAGGGATTTGTAATCCTGTCTGACCATATATATGAATGTATTTGAATACAAATTGCCAGAGCAGACCATATGCGAAGGTAAACACGATGCATTTGCTTTGCAAATGTTACCTTTCTAGTTAGGATTGAATTTTTATTGACATTTTCAGGAGCCAGACAGCACATAGAACAGACGACCGCATCAGAACCATGAGTGAGATCATCTCTGCCATGAGGGTCATCAAGATGTACACTTGGGAGAAACCATTCAGTGAAATGGTGGCAAAGCTTAGAAAGTAAGTAAATTGTACATGTACCAAACATCTAAAGGTTTATGAGAAACTCCAACTCAAGGAATTACTGAAATTTTTGACTTAAACCCCTGGTCTTCCTCAGTTTTCTGATGGAGTGATTTGGACGAAAATTTCAGTTGAAGTTTTTCATTGAATGTATTTTTAGCAACTGAGGACAACTTTCATGCTAATCTAAAGATTTGTATAACTGCCAGCCTTCATGTCCCTCTTGCACTTTGAACAGAACTAAGACTTTTTTGACAGCCTTCTGTAATATGATGATGTCACTTGCTCTTTTGATTTTGCTGGAAGGTCCACCTTTTCAAAATTGGCCAGCCTTGTCTGCATTCAAAATATTGCATTAACAGTGACTGTCACTCCTGTTTATTTCTTGCACACTGCAGACATGAGATCCAGGTGGTCATAAAGGCGGCGCTGTGCCGGGGGTTGAACATGGCGCTGTCGTCCGTGTCTCTGCGGATGGTCGTCTTCTTCACGTTTGTCACGTACGTCCTGATGGGGAACGGCCTGACCGCAGGGGTCGTCTTCAGGTCAATCGGCCTGGTCAACGTCATTCAGTTAACAGCCATGACATTCATGCCACTGGCGGTCTCAAAGGCGGCGGAGGCTGTTGTCTCCATGAAGAGAATACAGGTTTGTTTGCTTGTTGAGTCTTTGTTTATTTTTGAGATGCTCAGGCCAATCCGCCTGGTCAATGTCATCCAGCTAACGGCCATGACATTCATGACGCTGGCGGTGGCAAAGGTGGCGGAGAATATAGATTTGTTTGTTTATTTGTTTGTTTGAGCCTTTGAAATTTTTGAGCTGGCACAAAAAAAAAGATTCCAGACTAAATGTGAGTACTTGATGTGTACTGTGTTTGGTTTTCAGGACTTCTTGCTATTGGAGGAAATGGATGATCCAGAAGCCGGTACAAATGGCGTCATCTCAGTCACATCACCCCAGGACGCCGGCTGCAGTGTCATTCTGGACAAGGTCAAGGCCAAGTGGGCAGGGGTAAGGCACTGAAGCAAAGGCCTAGATGGCATGTCAATGCATTTATTTCAACCCCAAAGGAAGACATCTATAGTAAGTTGTGATAGAAAGATGTTCAAATTTTGTTTCTCTATTTCAGGACAGCGATCAGTTAACACTGAAGAGCATCAGCTTGAAACTGAAACCAGGTCAACTGCTGGCAGTTATTGGGCCTGTGGGGTCAGGAAAGGTAAGTTTCATATAAGAATCAATAGTTTATTTATTATATATACTGTAGGTGATTTGGTGGAGGTGGTTAAAGGCGGTGGATGGAGAGTGATGGGCTCTGCCTTCCAATACTGTGTCCTAGACACAGAGGCTGAACAACCCACTGTCCCTACAGCCTTAACAAGACCATGGGACCTTTGCCTACCTTTTATAACAGAGTGCATGTACAAGACACTACAAGGTAATGTGTATGTTGAAACTCTGTCTTAATACATGTATGTGAATAGTTGACTTATGTCTTGAATCAAGATCTAAATGTTCCATTTCTTTCCTGTTCTCTTCAGTCCTCGTTACTGAGTACTGTGCTACAAGAGCTGCCAGTGACCTCAGGAGAGGTCAAGGTTCATGGCAAGGTCGGCTATGCGTCTCAGCAGCCCTGGGTGTTCTCTGGGACTGTACGACAGAATATCCTCTTTGGACGCCCTTATGTTGAAGAGAAGTACAGGAAAACCATCCAAGCGTGTGCTCTTAAGAAGGTAGCGTAAAGTTAAGACATTCATTTGTTTCATTTTACTTCAAAAGTGAAGTTTTCTTTGTAACAGTGTATAAGTTTGGAAACTGGTGTAGTTTGTTTATAATATTAAAACATTGATTAAACATTGGTGTATAGCAGCTTTGTGGTATCTTGTATTCTGTTCTTGTTTTCCCAGGATTTTGAACTCCTGCCCCATGGTGACATGACACTGGTTGGAGACAGAGGTGTGACACTGAGTGGTGGTCAGAAGGCAAGGATCAGCCTGGCCAGGTAGGAAAACTGAAACTGGCATTTCTGTCATTTCTAAATCTAAAACTGATCGACAAATCTTGGTTTTAGAACCACAATAAAAAAAGAAACCAGCTCTCTGTTGTGTATGCCTTCAGGTCAGTGCAACATGTCACAGATATCTACATTATTGTAATACATTGTATTGTTAGGAAGTTGTTAATTTTTAAGAGTCAGAGGAAGTGGAAAGATGTTTGCTGTGTTTTCTTACAGAGCTGTGTACCATGACGCAGATATTTACCTGCTAGACGACCCTCTCAGTGCTGTGGATGGGGAGGTTGGGAGGCACCTGTTTAACAGGTATGTACATACATTGTATCTGATTTTTAAAACATCCATCTTAGTTTCTTACACTACCTTGCCAAGTGAATAAAAACTATAATGCAAGTTATTGCTTGGGAATATGCAGTACCAAGCAATCATTGTAATAGAGTATGGTTGATTTGTGGTATCCTGAGTTTCTGAAATTTTGTTAGAGTTGATAATATTTTCCTATACCATTTAGGTGTAACTAGGGTGCATTGTGTGGCAAACAAAAACTGTTGACCCAAGTTGGATCATGGTGGATTTTTTTTCGTGGTATCCTGAGTATCTGAAATTTCATTCTGAGTTACTGATATTTTCCTACTGTTCAGGTGTATCCAGGGTGCCTTGCGTGACAAACCACGGATCCTGGTGACTCATCAGTTACAGTATGTACAGGAGGCAGACCAGATACTGGTGCTGTTAGAGGTAACTAAATACAGCTGATTGATGCCATTACTACAGTGATCGTAGGTACAAATTAGACATAGAGCTGGAGGTCCTGCACACCTTGAGCACATTAAAGCTCCCACGACACTTATCAAAAGGAATAGCCTAGTTACCAAACGTATTTTAGCTCCTGAGTCCTACATTCTCTCTGCAAATAGGTCTGAGGGTGTAGGACTTGAGCTAAAATAGCTTTGGTAACCAGGCTATAAAATGAACGGCTGTCACCAAGTACAATTGGGGCATCATCACCCGACAGCTTTCAACAAATCCTATAATTAGATGTGCAAAGATTGGGCGTAACAGGTAGTCATGTAGCTAGCTGATGCCACATGGCGTGCCCGTGAAGCTGGTGTGCTATACAGAGTATACAAATACAGATACAGAATAGGGGTCCTTCCCAGTGTGAGTGGTTCAAACCTTACATCCCTTACTGTACAAAACTGATGTGGTACTCCAAAAAGATGGTTTACCGGTTATATGAAACAAACAAATATAAAAGTTTTCCCTTTCCAGGGTGAGCAGGTTGCTCTCGGTACCTACAGAGAACTCCTGCAGTCAGGAATCGACTTTGCCAAGATGATGGCGACAGAGGAGGAAGAGGAAGAAGAGGAGGAAGGAAGGAAGATGAACCGTCAGCTGTCCAGGGGTTCTTCTCGGAGAAGACGAGTCCGTTCTAGAACCTTCTCAGAAACTTTCAGTGCCAAGTCTGCCGAGTCAGATACTGAAGAAGAGGTATATTGTTTAAACAGATGTTGAGATAGTTTGATCAGAGAATCATTGGTGTATGATCAAAGAATAAATGTTTAACTAGAAAGGTAACATTTCCAAGGCAAATGCATAATCTTTACCCTTCACATGGTCCAGTAACTGCTCCGTTTATTCTTACTCAAGTACATTCAAATATATGGTGACCAGCCCCTCCAACTCTGTTCTACCACTTGCTACATAGTACATTGTGTTGTAATACTGTAATCCAACACCACAAGGTTCTGCTACAGCACTGGTTGCGATTGTGACAGGAGTTTGGTCCAGGTCATTGACCTTATTTGTTTGGAAAGGAAACAGAGCAGAACAATATATTTCTTTTGCAAATATTGCATAAGATTGCTCAGTTCAACTTTTTAACAGAGGACCTTTTTTACCATTGCCCAGGATGTGAGTGTTCCGTTGTTAGAGGAAGAAGATCGAATGACTGGTTCGATAGGGTGGAACGTGTACAGAGACTACTTCAAGGCCGGTGCTGGGATCCTGGGATGTCTGTTCGCTGTACTGGTTAACGTAGGCTACATTGTCATCTACTTGATAGCTGACTGGTGGCTAGCATACTGGTAAGCCAGGTTGTGTTAGTTATGACAAAAAGGCTAAACATTCTGTCCAACACTAAGTAAATTGAGACTTACCCAAATTTTCAGCTGACTTAATCAGCCTTGTTCACAGAATGGACCCGTGAATACTTAGTGTTGGCAAGAACGTTTAGCCTTTTTGTCATAATGAAGTATACCAACACAGATGACCTTTCATGTTAAGGTTGTCTTAGAATTGGAATAAAAATCGTTCTTCTTCTTTAATTGAAAATCAGAGCTTTTGGCTGTAATGAACACAAGAATCCTTATCTTGTTGGCTTACCTTGGTCCCTAAACCTCCTTTTTGGTGAATGTGTGTGTTTGTGTGTGTGTGTGATAGAAGCTCATAGAACTGAAAGTAAATGTAACAATACCGGTAATGTCTGGGAATTATATTCTTAACATTCTTGAACACCATATGACAGCATGTATATTTTTTTAATTTGAATTTGTGAGCTGTAATTTACAGGGAAAGAGAGAAATTGACAGAGTGAGATTCTTTTTCCGTTTTCCATCTCAAAAGATTTTTTTTATTTTCTCTCCCATTAATGCAGGGCAAGACAAGAAGAGGAATATCGTACTGCAGGCAACAATTGGCCGTTTCCACCTAGAAATGGCAACAATGCAACATTTCTGAATGTTTCCAATGTTGGAGACAATGTTGCAAACACAACGGCCATACCGATGCCCCTCTCTATAGCTGCCCCGGACACACATTTCTACATCTACATATTCACTGCCCTGACGGCAGGATCCCTAGTGCTGAGTCTCGTCAGGACTTGGCACGTTTTTTACATCACAGTGGAGTCTTCTAGAAACCTCCATAACGACATGTTCAACGCAATCATCAGGGCTCCAATCAGGTTCTTCGACACAAACCCTGTTGGTGAGTTGTATATGGTTCATTGTATAAGTCAACTGTTATGATCACTTGGATTGGCAGTTTCAGCTTAATATGGTATATTATGGTACCAAGATTTGCAATGATACAAACTTAAGATACTTTGGAAATGTACGATGTATGTAATTACAACAATTTGGAGATAGCTACTTGTCAGTAATCATTGTTGAAACTTTTTCTTTCTCAGGGCGAATCTTGAATCGTTTCTCCAAAGACATTGGACAGCTGGATGACATGTTTCCTTGGACGTTCGCTGACTTTACTGAGGTAATCTTTAACACCGTGACTTCATATGAGCAAGGAAGTTCCTTTTTCATATGAAATGCTGTCATTGTTAATAATCTACATTTTACAATTTAAATTTCATCCATTTAACTCTGACTTATTTTTATATCATTCTAGATCTCCAGGATTTCCTAATTTAATCTCCAACCTATGACAGCTATCTGACAGTGTGTGTTCTGCTTTTGTATCCATTTTGGCTGTTATTTTGACTGAATATTTTGCATCATATAATTTTCTCACTATCAGTGACTATGAAACAATGTCCTTTGAATTTCAGGGATTTCTAGCAATCCTTGGGATCATAGTTATGGCTGGAATCATCAACCCCTGGGTGTTCATCCCCACCATACCTCTGTTGTTACTGTTCATGTACCTACGGAAGTATTACCTGAGCACATCCAGGGACATCAAACGACTGGAGGGAACCAGTAGGTTATCTTTTATGCACGTCAGTCAATAAGCCAGCATTCACATGGATCAGTGTGTTTGATAGACAGAATAAGCTGTAAAACAATCAACCACCGTATACACAAATTTTGAATGACCATGGGCGGGATTAGAACTCTTACCCTCTAGGTTCAGAAGCAGAGTTGCTTGCGTCTTTTTTACGCATAGCCCATGACCCAGTACCATAGTACATAGCTCACCTTTCTGCTGCCCTACAAGGCATTTGGACTATATATATGTAGTACCATTATTATTTGCCAGGTGGCAAGTGCTATCCTAGATTGACGGACCATTGCTTTTTTTTTTATCAGCCCGAAGTCCAGTGTTCTCTCACTTGTCTGTCACCTGCAAGACTTGTGAACTGTGTACATGTACTCTTTTGCCAGGGGGCACTAATATCTCATTGACATGCTGCGCTTATTTTTCCCAGCTCGTAGCCCAGTGTTCTCTCACCTGTCTGCCACCTTGCAAGGCCTGTGGACCATCCGAGCCTTTGGTGCTCAGGAGAGTTTCCAGCAGGAGTTTGATTCTCACCAGGACCTGCACTCGGAAGCCTGGTTCCTGTTTCTGACCTGCAGCAGGTGGCTGGCCATCAGGATCGACTTTCTCGCCTCCCTGTTTGTGACAGCTGTGGTATTCTTTAGTGTACCTGCTTCACAAGGTATGTGTTTCTTTGACCCAAAACTTTGAAATTTCTTTCTTCCTTCTAGGGCTCGAGCCAGCACCAGTTTTTCCATCAATTACCAGTTGTCTGCGACGAAAATATTTTCTAACCAATCCGCCAACCTTGTCAGACAAAATTAACAAAAAGGTTGGGTAAAAATATGATAACATCTGAAGGATCACCACTCTCAACATCATGATTTGCCTCTCAAAATGGATGGGGGAAATTGTATTTTGGAAGGCTTGAAAATCCTAAATTTCCCAAGGGGAGCATGCCACCAGAATCCCTAGGTTGCAACTGCCTACAGCCCTGCCCTCCCCAAATCTGATGATGAACCTGGGCTGACAGAAAAATTCAAGCTGGCTAGAGCCCTGCTTCATTCCTTCATTTGTAGAAGCATTGAGCATAGCTTTCATTAACCGTTCTCATGTTTATAATGCACTGATACAAATTCAGTTTCTTTCTCATTAGAGGTTTTCTTACTTGTTTCTTCTCTTTCCCCCAGCTCTAGATGGCGGTCTGGTGGGGCTGTCAGTGACGTATGCCATCATGCTCACAGGCTTCTTCCAGTGGATCGTACGACAGAGTGCTGAGGTGGAGAATCTGGTACAAAATGTTTCTTTTTGAGATGTCTTCCCCTTCATATTGATAATTTGTTTCAGAGTATCTGTCAAAGACATTGGGAAGAGACAAATAGCAACTGTTTTCCTGATAATATTAATATTCAATACTCATTAGCTTCTGCTCTTTTGCTTCAAAAAAGACGTTAAAATGACGTTAAAATTGTATTTAAAAATATTACATGTATGACAAAAAGCTTTGGAGATAAAGCTTTGCTACACCTTGTAAACATGAGGACTGATAATGTTGATGTCAGTACATCTACTAACAAGAGAAAAAGTCTGGTGAGATAATTATAACCTTTCCAATTTATTTCCTTACCAGATGACATCCGCAGAAAGAGTAGTCACATATACTAAACTGGAGCCTGAAGCTCCACTGGAGACCAGTACAAAACCTCCCGGAGACTGGCCTCAGCACGGGAGGGTCGAGTTGGAGGCTGTGTCCTTCTCGTATTCTGAAGATGGACCTGAAGTTCTCAAGAACCTGTGTGCCATAATACGACCACAAGAAAAGGTTGGGGTCAAACACATTTGTTATGTCTTAGTAAAATGTTGAACTTTATTCCAACACAAAGATTATACAGAGGTCAAATTTTCAGCGACCACTGTTGCCTTCATCAGGATAATTAATGACCGATCACTTCAGAACGTAAGCTTGTGAGAGTTACAGTTACAGACATGTGACCTTATTCACACAAGACTTTACAGATGTGTGACATAAGCAATTGATCAAAAGTGCCAGGGAGTTTATATCGTCCACCGTCTCTATTACGTGAAGGCTGAAGTGCTCTGAGATATATAGCCTCCTTTAATAATGCCTCTTAAAACGTAAATGTCTTAAAATTGTTGTGTCTTGTTTAGTTCTGTCTGATAGTTAACCATAGTGTAGATGTACAATGTAGGCTCCTCCTAACACAATTGGTTTTTACTATATAGGTCATATGTCCAATATTTGTGTGTTGTTCTCTTTTATATCATCCTTTTCTTGCCTAAAAACTGCCCAGCCAGGCCCTCAATTGGGAATTGTAACTGAAGCATAACATTGGTCAATTTCTCCATCCTTTTTCTCCAGATTGGCATAGTAGGTCGGACGGGAGCGGGGAAGAGCTCCCTGATGCAGATGTTGTTCAGGATGGCGGAGCCACAAGGAACAGTCAGGATTGACGGGGTGGATGTCACCAAGATCGGACTCCACGACTTGAGGAAGAAAATCTCCGTCATTCCCCAGGACCCTGTCCTGTTTTCTGGTTCCCTCAGGAGGAACTTGGATCCATTCAACGACTTTACAGACCTGCAGCTTTGGAGTGCCTTAGAGGAGGTACTATAGCTCAGAATATGCCCTATGCTCTGGTCCACTGCCCTATAGAATAGTCAGTCTTAGTAGATAATTGTTTGACGTTTTAATATTTACCTGAAATATAAGTAAGATCCCTGACTGACTTTGAGTTGCATGGTCCTCTGTCAGCTGGAATCAGTCAGCATATTTTTAGGCCTTTTTGTAAGCCTTGCATTGCTGCAATGTTCAGGCAAGATACATAACTTTTGTTCTTACCAATGATCCCCCTGACATCTCTCTAGGTCCAGCTGAAACAGGCTGTGAAAGAGCTTCAAGGAAAGCTTGAATCTGAGATGGCTGAATCTGGGACCAACTTCAGTGTGGGCCAGAGGCAGCTGGTCTGTCTAGCCAGGGCCCTGCTCAGGAAAAACAGGATTCTCATCATCGATGAAGCAACAGCAAATGTAGACCCCAGGTATGACAATATGGCTCTTGACACTACTTTGATTTTTTGCTAGGTTTTGATTTTGTGTATTGTCAAGTGATTGGAAGAAATGTACAGTCACTCACTGAGCGATATGTTACCAATACAGGACGGACCAGCTTATTCAGGAGACCATTCGAGAGAAGTTCAAGAACTGCACAGTGTTAACAATAGCCCACCGACTCAATACTGTCATCGACTCGGATAGGATCATGGTGAGTAGTACTTCTTTTTAAGGAATTACAATGTATTGTTGGAAATATCTATTGCACAACACATTGAGTAAAGAGACTCTTTCTACACAACCAAGTCTTTTGTTCATCTGACTTTTCGTTGACCGTCTGTCACCTTCCTCAGGGCAATTCTGACTTTACATTGCATTGCAGCACAGTTTGGAATGAATCTGTTATAGCAGTAACACTTGTGCTGCAATGCAATGTGAACCAGTCAGAATTGCCCTTGAGGAAGGTGACAGACGGTCACCGAAACATTGGCTGAATAAAAGATTTGGTTGTGTAAAAAGAATTTCTTTACTCAGTGACTTACCAACCTGATGAAACTATTCACAGATGCACAACACATTGTCAGAGGTGCAAAAGGCTAAGATTTCATCTGGCCCACATGTGATCCGTTTTTACTGTACCAGGTACTACAGGAGGGCCGAGTACAGGAGATGGGAGAGGCTCATGCCCTGCTGCAGGACAGAGATGGTGTTTTCACAGCTATGGTGGACCAGTCCGGGAAGATGTTAGCAGCAGAGCTGAGAGAAGCAGCCAGGCAGTTTTATGTTGGCAAACACGGCACAGAACACGTTTTAGAAGATATACATGCTGCTCTGACTCTTTGTAATGTGGAATTTTTGACCACTGTTTAGATTATGGTGTTGCAAAACACTGAACAGCTGTTTTCACAAACAAATTGAATACATATTTCATGAAGTAGAAAATAAATTGATGACTGTGTCACTGTGCCTTCTTCATGGTGTAGAATGGTACAATTATATAGTACCTTGTTTTAGTGTCATGTTTTAGTGCCTTGTTTTATTGGACCAGGCAATTATCTATGCTGATGCAAAGCTGCATCTTGAAGGAAAGCAATAATCATGACATTATCGTAAACTTTGTTTTAGGAACTCTAGAAAGTATTTTAATTAAGATTGGAACTAATTTTCAATGAACATTGTTGCTGGTTTCATGGAAGGAAGCTATGATTGTGTATTTCTCATTCAAAACATATTTGAAGAGTTTTAAGTTATGGATATATATGCAAAAAATGACATATATATTTGTGATGTTTGTCCAAAGATGCAATAATACCAGACTACCTCTAAATTTGTTTTTTTGATCCTATCTCTTGTTCTTTGATTTACATTTTATACATGTATATGGTCCTTACTTCTGTATTGACAGCATTTCTAATAGAGATAGTACTGACATGACTTGAAAACAGTTCATGTCATGTTTTTAATTTCTATCATGACGACCTATAAACGTCTTACATAAGTCAAGGAAGGATTTTCCTTTTACTGTCAGTGTGCCCATCTGTAGCTCCTGGTGTGTCAAATGATAAATTCCTGCTTTCTGTTTGGCATGGACAGGATTGGAGGATGTTGTACATGGAATGATGTCACTCCTTGAGTTTTTGGAAAAAACTATTTTCCATGAGATGATCTAGTACATGTATCTAGTATCCTATCTTAGTATAAGATAAGATAAGATAAGAATGTTTGTTGCCCACAATTCTTAGATGGTGCTACAAAACATAAAAGAGGTTCTAAGTTAGTGGGCTTCACCATGTAGTATTTATGTAAACGGTGTTTTAGTTTGTTTTAGTTTGCTGTTACGTTGATTAACAAGGTTATGAATAAGAATGAAAGGTATACAGTTTTGAAACTGATTTATATATTACATTAATGTGGACACAGTTCGGTGGATCTGTATTGAAAATAGTAAGGTGACAACCAGTGTTATATGAGGTCCAAATTGTGGTCACACAACACAGTCCTTGCTGTACAAGTATGTACTATTGATGCTATGTTTAATACATGACATTTGTGTATTATCATTTTTGGCAATAAATACATCATCAGATGTAGAATACGATGTGCTATATCTAAATGACAGCAACATTAAATTTCTGTGACATCGTGACTACTAGGGGAATACCACGAGTAATCTTCTTGTTTCAAAGTTGCCTTTTTATGGCCACAGACTTCGAGCGGTACAGAAGCGCTTACTAGCAGTTGAAAATATGATTGCAGCGTTTTATGATATGAATCGCTATAGATCCCCATTGTTTAGCGGGACCAAAGAGGCATGGAGCATTATAGCTTACCTTTGCTCAACTAGCTATAGTTCGAACTTGTTTATCAACTTTTAAAGGTGAGCGAGCGTGTAACTTCATCCAAAGAGTAGGGTATGTTTTCGTAAACGCTGTTGTTTGTTTGTTGATGTACAGAAGGAGTCAGACTCTATGCGTCATAGTTTACAGGTCGAAAGTTTGAGCGATCAAACAAACATGCCAACAGACAAACACTGACCAAGGACGGTACCTGACCTGAGTCGGGTGGTTACATGGTCAATGACTGCCATCACTCAACTGGTAGGGGTTTTCTTTTAGGTAAGGCCATGTTGATTTGATTATATGGATGACATCCGCGCGCGCATGAATTTTCGGCCGTTTCCAAAAAAAAAAAGTTTTCAACCATACTGTAAATCGTACAAAACAGTTGCAAAATGAGCAAAAATATACCATAAGTTACAAAAAATTAATAAAAACTTTACCAATGTCGTAGAATGCCAAAATCAAACGAAAAAAGACGAAATTGTAAAGAAATGAACCTAAAGACTAGATTATTCGCCAAAACATATTCTGTGCCATATGCTCAACCCTCATGACCACGTAGATTTCATAATGAAAAGAACTTTTCTTTTTTTTGCAAAACTTTTTTTTATTCGCACGCGCGCATCAGTTTTGGCGCTCCCGGAGGATGTCATCCATATAATCAAATCAACATGGCCTAACGTATCGTTAGGTAACGTATATAGTACGTAATGTTCACACATCATGTAATGTTAGCTGAAAATGTCTTAACGTTGCACAATCATGTGAAATACTTGCCACGCAAGGTAATGCAGCCAAGAGTATATTTATACAGGGGCGTCTGTATCTGGTTAAAGTCCAAGTCGCTATCCAAATTTCAAAGGTCAAGTTGAGATTCTAAACTCTCGTATTTCGAGAAACACGCCATACTTTCAGGACTCGGGATCTCTCGTTCAACAAGTGGACGGCTACATGCACGCACCGAAGCGAT